GGAGCAGGAGGAGGTGCCGCTACGGAGGATACCAGGGAGGCCGGGTGAGACACGCCAGACAGAGAAGGCCCCGGAGAAGGGGCAGCGGCCGGAGGTGGGGCATCGAAGTCTGCCCAAACAAGCGTCGGGAGAGGTGGAGGAGGCTCGTCCGTGGTCGCAGAGTGGAAGGGGCATGTTTCATAGAAGACGACATCACGGCTGCGAATCAGCTGTCTGGTGATGGGGTTGAGGAATAAGTAGTCTGGGGAGTAAGAGTTGTGCCCAGACGCATAGAGAGCGGGGGGAGGGCGTGGCCCCAAGCCAGAGAGCGGTAGGTGTGGTGTCGGGCCGGTGGGGATGTGGATAAAGATTGTAGAGGAGTGCCGCATGGAAGTGGGCATATCCCCAGAGTGACCGTTGTGCGTTGGCGTGACTGAGGAGGCAGCGAGCGATCTGAACCAAGGTGTGGTTACGGCTCTATGCAATGCCGTTCTGCTGCGGGCTTTCCCTGAGCGTGAAGGTTTGCCGAACCCCTTGAGCCGCACAGAAGTTATCGAGTTTGCCATTGCAAAATTCTCCCCAGCCATCAGAATGGAGGCACTTCAGAGGAGTGCCGAACGTGACTTGAGCCTGGCGCACCTACGCTATGATGACATCAGGTGCCTCCGCCTTGGTATGGAGGAGGTGCATTGAGACATGCCGCGAATGGTCATCGACTAGTGTAAGAAAGTACCGATGACCGCCTCGTGATGCGACTGGAGCTGGGCCCCAGACATCCATGTGCACTAGGTCCAGCGGAGCAGCTGCGACGGATGGGGACGAAGGGTGCGGCTACTGCCTGAGCTTGCTCTTGGTGCAGTCCAGGCAGGTGGGTGCAGGTGAGTCTGTTGGTGGAGGAAGCGCCAACGGGAGGCCAAAAGGAAGTTTCTTGGAAGCGATGTCGGCAAGTGTACGGAAGTTGGGGTGACCCAAGCGATGGTGGTAGAGGATGGTTGGGTTGGCGAAGCTGCGAAAGGAACACGAAGTGGTGCTGGCAGCTTGCGCTTGGGAGAGGGCGGCGAGAGGTGCAGGTGAACGCAGCGTGTAGAGCTTGCTGCTGTCGAGTGTGAAGCGTGCTAGGAGCAAGTTGGATTTGGGGTCGAGGAGGTCACAGTGATCCGAGAATGCTGGGAAGATCGTGGTGACGCCTGCCCGTTGGAGCTCGTGTTGGGCCACGAGGTTGTGGCGTAGTGTGCGAACACACATGCCAGCGGAGTGCCCGAAGGAAAAGCTGGGCACGGAACTGTGGAGGAGCCCTTGGCGTGTGTTGTGAAACTGGAGTCTGCTCCAAGTAGACGGATTGGTGTCTCGTATGGCTTGAAGGAGTGTTCTTCCTTGAGAACTGTGTGAGTGGCCCCACTGTCGAGGGTGAACTCTATTGTGGCTGAGGTGGTTTGTGAGCCAGGACACTGCAAAATTGTCTCATTAATCATGGCAGTGCCAGGGAACAACATGTTCAGGCGCACATCAACAGGTGCAGCCACAGCAGCCTGCACGCATTCCTGCGCTTCGACTTGATTGACTTGGCGAGGAGCACGATTGACCATCCAGCTTGGCGGCTTCGAGGCGGTCCCATTGACGGCATACCACTCGTCATCCTTCTTTTAAGGCAGAAGGCAAGGCCGTGGTTGGTGCCGCCACACACCTGGCCGGCACGAGGGTCGCGCTTGATGATGTAGGGACACGGGCAGAAGCGGTTGCGCTGGAATGGTGCCGAAGAGGCATAGGCTTGAGGCACGGGAGCGCGGATTGCATTGGCCTTGGCTTGAGCGCTGTTGTCCTTTTCGGCAGAAAGGAGCGCGGATGAGACCTTGGCAAATGTGAGGTCCGCAGGAGCAAGGCCCAAGAGCATCTTGCGTGTGACTTCGTATGCTGGAGTGAGGCCGACTATGAGAGCGGCTGCAGGGGCTTGCTCGGGGAAGACTATCCCCAGCTGTTTGAGTTCACCATGAATGGACTGCACCTTGGTGACATAGTCCGCCATGCCTGGCGAGTCCTCGAGCCGCACTTGGAACATGCTGGGGATGAGTATAGAAACTCCCACTGCAGTCTTGTTCAGGAAGCGATCTTCGAGGTAGAGCCAAATGGCGTTGGCAGACGGGTAGTTGTGGTAGGTTTCGACGAGTTCGGGAGGAGTGGTGCCCATGAAGACACTAATGACCGCACCATCGGCCTTCTCCCAATTCTTGAGCACTGCAGCAGCATAAACTGCTTCGGCGGCGGCAATAGCTGGATCGGCAGACCTCTCGGGTTTTGGAGGCTCTTTGCTGTCACCGATGTTGAGAAGGACGTCGGTGAGCTCGAGCCCCTTCACCTCGCGACTGAGGAGGTGCTTTTCGGCACCATAGCGCCAAGCCTTGTAGTTGGAGCATGTACCGTCCAGCTCGAGACGAAGGAGCGGAATCGGGTTGGCGAGTGGAGTGGTTGAGTAAGCCATTGCCGCTTGATTTTCGCGAAGCGACGCTCTTAAGTCACCGATAGGATTTTCGGTGTGCAGCCCGGCACTTCTGGAAATCGGTCGACAAGAATTGTTGAAAATCATTCTGACGGCTTCATCGAAATGCCGCTAAAAAGGAAATGGCGTCGGCGAAATTTCGTTAAAACGCCGACTTGAAACTAAATCAGAGACTATATCTAGCCCCGGACACACACACCCCCCACACACCCCCAAGCCCTGTCCCGCAGCTCCGCAACCAGCTCCGCAACCAGCTCCGCTCCGCTTCAACTTGTGTACCTCCTCTTGCTTGACGCGAGACGTTCGTGGAGGCGATTTCGCGATGGGAGTTCGCCTATTCTGGCGGGGTCTAAGGGGAAACTGGAGAACGAGTTTTAAGAGATGGTCGAAATTGAGATTCGACCAAGGAGAACCGAGCAGGAAATCGACGACGAGAAGCGTGAAAGCTTCAGAGATGAGAATTTCGACGAGGTCGAGCGCGAAGGCGGTCGACGATGGGAGGCGCGACTACAGATTGGAGCACGTCGAAATTCCGATGACTCGGAACGAATGTCGCGACGATGAAGTGCGCGTAGCGCGGGCACGTTAAGATTAGGACCTTGATCCGCGTGTGCAGATAGGTCGCTCTGATATCATGATTAATTAGGTCAGGAGCCCAAGGCTCTATAAGTACATGGCAAGGTGAGAGAGAATGGATGAAGAGGGGAATCGGAGGGAATCCCCATTGGGATCTCCGGAATCTCCAATTGGGTAATTGGAGATTTGGGGGATCACAATTGGGTGAAGTTGGGATTTGTGAGTACACCCAAACCCACCAGAACATTCATAACCTAAACTAGGATATAACAGTACAAATACAAAAGTGGGATTTGCAGTCTATTTCTAACACATGATTCATGCCAGTGCACCCCATTTTTTATGGCTGTTCATTGTTCGCTACGCTGCTCACCAGCTTAACATTTTGCCGCACTCCCAGCAGCTGTAGGTTTCGCCGACCCTTCTCTGGACCGGGTCTATGGGGACACTAAAGCGTTTTACGTCTGGGGCTACCTCGCTTACGTCCATACCTCCGGCATGGACAAGCTCACTGTCCGCACCGTCCCTTGTGTCTTCCTTGGTTTCCTTCTGGACGCATCTTACCGGCACTTTAACTACCGGCCGTCTCACAGTTTCTTTCACTCTCGCGACGTCACTTTTCAGGAGTATGTCCTCTTCTACTCCCGCTTTCCCCATCGAGGTCTCCCGGTATCCCAGCCCCTGTTCCTAGTCCCCACTCCCCCGGTAGCCCCTGCTCTTCTTCCTCCCCGTCCTGCCCCGTCTGGTGTGTCTCACGTCACTCCCCTCCCGTCGGTAGTCCTGTTAGAGAAGTTGGTTGACTACGGGGGCCCTACGGCTTCGGTTTTGCCGCCCGTCTATGCCTGGTGTTCTATCCTTTACCACCGCAACAGCAGCAGCCACCGTCGCCACTGCATTAGCAGCCACCGTCGCCGCCGTCGCAGCCATAGTAGCAGTCGCAATCGTCGCCGCAGCAGCAGCAGCCGCCGCAAGGGTCCGCGAGCTCTGGGGGTGGGGGCATTGTGGAGGGTGCTATTCCTGGGGGTAATGCCATGGCTTGTCCCGGCGGTTCTAGGGGTGGCACCGGTGTAGGAGCGGGTTTTTGTTTTGGGGGTGTTGGATTGGAGCATCCCGGAGGTAGCCGTGGAGCACTTGGAGGTTCTGGTGTTGGAGAGGAGCAGCAGCAGCGGCAGCAGTCTCCGCCGGTGTCCGCCCTTCGCCTCCTCAGTCTTCCCTTCCCTGACCACCGGTCTGCACCTCCCCCGCCGCCGCCTCCCCCGCCTATCTACGGCCCTTTGTTTCTTCCACCGGAACTGTCTCCGGCTTGCTTCCCCTAACGTTCTCCTCCTGTTTCTCCACCCTTGTCTCCTGACCCGACCCCATCCTCCCGCTGGTGGTCTCGCCGTGCCTCTCGTGCTCGTCCTCCTCCGCGTTCTCACCCTATGTTGCTTTGTTCCCACGTGCCTCATCCTCCCCTCCTCTGTCGGACATCCTTCGTGCCGCTAGCCTTCTTGTTACTCGGGACCTGTCTCTAGTCTCTCTGTTCTTGTCACTGGCGTCGCTGACTTTGCCTCTACCCGCCGCCTTGACTATGCCACCGCTCTAGTCTCTGACCCTCCTCGTCCTCTGTCCATCAGGGGTGCTCCTGTCCTTGGCAGTGACGTCCTGGATGTCCGGCAGTGCGAGCTCCCATTCCTGTCTGAGGCCGTTCCTCATCTCTGATACATGCTGCTAGTCCCTGAGGGTGACCCAGATGCCCTTGACATTCCGAAACTTCGCACTTATCTGAGGCGACCTCGGGACCCTGGGCCTCTCAGTGGATAGCTGCCATTGACACGGAGATGGCATCTTGGAGATCCATTGGCACCTACATCGACGCAGTTCCTGTTGGTTAGAGAAGGCTATAAGCAGATGATTCAATGGCTCCTTGGAAATTTCTGCAGCACTTCGTTATGACGCCCAGAAAACTCGCGACCTTCGAATAGCTATATCAAAAACTCCAATCGGTGAAACGATCTGAAAATCGGATATGTTGTAGCTGGCAGCGTCAGCTTTCCACTGAAAGTTGAATCACTCGATTCCGTAGCTTAACGAGTGAGCTATGGCGTTTGGCGCACTGGGGGGTAATCTGCCCTAGGAGAAGTTGACAGTCCTCAGAGTCACTATGATTGAAGCTTACAAGTTCAGAGGCATGATAGAAAAGGCATTGAAGCACAGTTGGAAGGTGGGGTAGGAAGGGAAGGATGAAAGGGAAGGACCCTGGAGGCCCATGGTCAAGAACATGACAAGAGTCAAAGTTTTGACTCCCCATCCTCAGGTTCAGCCAGCCTGGCAAGACAAAATTCACACTGTGCCAGGTTGGCCTCCAAACCCCAAATGCTGCAGCTGCAAGGTGGGGACAAAAGTCCCACACATGCTGGTCCCTCCTCGTTATAGGGCTCTCCAACTTTGGTGTAGCAGCTGACAAGGACTTCCAATGAGTTGTAACAAATCCATCAAACATTTCTTCGTAACTTCTTCATATGTGCTCCGATTCCAACAATTCTTGGCTCGTTGGAATGTGCTCGATGTCATGCACAATCCAAGCACATCTGCACAAGCACAAGATGAACATGCAAAGACATGCAAACCCAACAAACCATACAAACAACGTAGCACACAAAACACATGCAACGAAATGATGCGAACAGACGACAGGATGACGTGCAAACGAATATGCACCAACACACTCCCCCTCAGACTGTCGGCTGTTTCGCCGTCTCTAGTTCAAGGACAATTCCCGCCATTCCTCGCACAGCGCCAGTGTGGCTCTTCAGCTAGCCGCTTGGTAAGGAAGTCGGCTGGCTGTTGCTGAGTTTTCACGTAGATCGGATCCAGTGTCCCAAGCTTCACCTCCTTCCGCAGCCAATGCCACTTGATCCTCATGTGCTTGTTCAACCCATGAAGAACTGCATTGCGTGCCCATGGCAATGGCTCCCTTGCTATCACTGAACAGAGGTGTCGCACAAGTCTGTTCATGGCCGATCTCCTTCAAGAGCCTCCTTAGCCAAGATGATTTCTTTTGCGCATGAAACATCGCCATGTACTCAGATTCCACTGAAGATAGTGCCGTCTCAGACTGCTTCTTGGACCTCCAACTTACAGGCCCACCTCCCACCATGCAGATGTATCCACCAACTGATGATGAATCCTCATGCTCAGAAGCCCACGTGGCATCAGCAAAACAGGAAAGGAACACCTTTCCTTCTCCGAGCTGCTCCCCCTTCTCTTTGAGGACTTCAATCCTTTTTGACTGAGTTGAGCAGAGGCTGAATACTGTACTCCCACTGTAGGGTATGACTTGAGGTAGCGCACCACTCTCTCCGCTGCACCACACTGCTCTTCTGTTGGATTTTGCACTACTCGAGCCAGCTGTCCCACAGCAAAGCTGATGTCAGGCCGAGTATGCACAGCAGCGTAGAGTAGGCTCCCGACCATGGATTGGAATTGCCTCTGGTCTTCACTCTCAACTCCTTCTCCTTCAGCTGCCTTTATGAGTTTGAACTCGGAAGGCAAAGGTGTGACCACTTCCCGTTCTTCCTGCAGAGAGTACTTCTCAGCCAAGGTGTTGATGTACTGTCCCTGATGCAGTTTGAGCCAGCCACGTTCAGTATCCCGCTCAATGTGCATTCCCAGGTAGTACCTTGCCTCTCCAAGTGACTTGCACTTGAACTGCTCTGTGAGCTTCCGCTGCACCCCATCGATCTCCTTGTCACTGCTGCTGAAGAGCAGGATGTCATCCACGTACACCAGCAGAAGCACAAGCGACTCCCCCTCGCTCATCAGGAATAGGCTCTCGTCGCATGCACTCGCACGGAATCCAATCCCTTCCAGTGCACTGGCCAGCCTGTTGTACCAGCATCTCGGGGCCTGCTTCAAGCCATAGATGGCCTTGTTAAGTTTGCAGACACGACCGGTTCCATCCTCATAGCCAGGTGGTTGAACCATGTACACCTCCTCTTCCACAATGCCGTACAGAAAAGCGGTTACGATGTCCATCTGCTTCACCTTCCATTTGCGCACAGCAGCTACCGCCAGCAGCACACGTAGCGTTGGAGACTTAGCAGTTGGGGCAAACACTTCTTTGTAATCTTCCTTCGCTTTCTGCTGAAACCCCTTTGCCACCAGCCTGCTCTTGTAAACTGATGGCTCTCCTTTCTCATCCGTCTTGATTTTTGCCAGCCACTTGCACTGTATTGCCTTCTTCCCATTTGGCAAGTACACCAGGTCCCATGTGTGATTCTCCATCTGGCTGTTGTACTCTGCATCTCTTGAAACGAGCCACTTCCCCCGTTGAGGCCCCGGCTAGCGCATGATCCATGCTCGGAGGTTGTATTGGTGCGTAAAAGCAGTATGCAGGCTCCTTCGTCATCTGACTCTTGGTCATCACCCAAGAACAGCACTGCATCTTCGCCTTGAGCCTGTTCCTGCTGCTCAGTTGTGGCTCCTCCACTTGTGGAGCTCAGCAGCTTTCTCGTTGCCATTCTGGTACGTGCAGGGTAGATGGTTGGATTTACCCATTCTTTCACCTTCACCCAATCCTTTGTCCCCCCACCAATCTGTTTCCTTCGCTTTGGCAGACTTGGTGTTTTGGAAGCCTCTTGCTGCTGCTGCTCCGGATCCTTGACTCAGCATCAGCTGCAATATCCTCATTGCTTCCTTCATCAGTACCGCTTGCCGTTGGCGCAGTGACTTCGCTGTCCTCAGGTTCGGACAAGATCGAAGTGCATAGTGATCTCTTCCAGCTGCTGGTGACCCTTGCCTCCCGGGCTGCTTCTCCCACTTGCCATACATGATGTTCTCCACAAATTTGACATCCCGACTGTCAAACAGCACATTCTTCGAGGCTCCCAGAGTAGCCACCCCTTGCTCTCTGCCGCAAGCCCAAGGTGCACACACCACAGTGCAGATGCTCCAAGCTTTGTCCTGTACGGTTTAGGGACATGCGCCACTGCCATGCATCCGAACACTCTGAAGCATGTCCACTGGAGGCTTCTTTCCAAGCCACCTCTCCAGCGGCACCCACATATCATCAGCCACCTTTGTGAGTACGCGGTTCCTTGCCACTGTAGCATGCCTCACCGCATGAGGCCACATGGAGTTCCCCAGCCCTGATTCGATCAGCAGCGCTCGCGCAGTTTCCAGGATGGTCCTATTAGCCCTCTCAGCAACGCCATTTGACTGAGGGGTATAGGACGTCGTTAGCTGATGCTCAATGCCTTGTTTCTTGAGCCACGCAGTCAGATCTCCTCCTAGAAACTCTCCACCTCGGTCGGTTCTGATGCTCTTGCATGGGTGCCCAGATTGTCGCTCGACGAACGGCAGCCATCATCTCGTATTGTTGAGGCAGCATGATCCTTCTGCTTCAACGGGTATGCCCACATCAGCCGACTCCAGTCATCAACTATTGTCAGGAAGTACCTTTCCCCCTTACTTCCTCGGACTGGAAAAGGTCCTACAGGTCCATGTGCACCAGTTCCAGTGCTGCCTTGCTTTTCCCAGCTACGCCGTGAAAGGGGAACCGTGTGAACTTGCTCAGCAGACACGTCTCGCACTTGGTATCATTTGGTTGCCCAGAAAGCTTGAGCCCCTTTACTGCTTCTTCCTTATGCAGTTGCTGCAGCAATGGCATAGCCACATGCCCTAGACGCCTGTGTGCGGTTTCCCAATCAGTCTCCCCCGACCTTGCAGAAACCGTCACTCCTGCAGCACTAACTGCATTACACTCCCCCTGGACTCCAGATCCCGCCTTTACTTCTCCCAACTCCTTCTTTGTTGATTCCCATATCAGTGCAGGGATCTGCCACATGGATCTGAAGACATCTCTGCTTTCGTGTAAATCCCATAACACACGATCTCCTCGCAGCCCCTTGAATGTTTTGGATCCATTGGTGGTGGTGCTGACTCCGGCCTGGCCTAGCTTGCGCAGCGATATCAGATTGGCCTTCAGCCCCGGTACGAGTAACACATCCTTCAGCACAACCAGTCCACCATCAGGTGCTCTGAATGCAGCTCGACCAACTCCAGCGACCTTCACTGCATGTCCGGATGCTGAGCGCACTTCAGAGATTGGAGGCGCTCGCACAGCATCCAGCAAGTCCTTGCGTGGTGTCATTGTCCATGCAGCACCAGAGTCCATGACCCACATGTCAAGCGGGTGCAATTCCTCTCCAGCCCTTGCAACAGCTGTGCCACTGTCATCTTTGTCACACACATGGTAGAACTGTCCAGCATTCCTCTCCTCATTTCCCATTCCTCTGTCATCCTTGGAGGTTTCTTCAGCAGGATCAGCTACCATGTTGGCACCTCCATGTGGTTGCTTTCCTCCATTCCCCTTCTGCGATTGGTTCCAAGGGGTCCACCAGTCGGGCTTGGTAGGCAGCGAAACCATGGATGCCCTTCTTCCTTGCAATACCAGCACTCTCCCCTCAAGCGTGGTTCACTGTTGTCATTGTTGGAGTGACCACCTCTTCCTCTTGCACCAGCGCCACCACGCCCCGCTGGTTCCAAGTCCCGCGACCACCTTGGCTGTGGTAAGAGCGACCGCGATTGCCACGCCCTCGATCCCTCCATGTCCCTTGCATGGCATAGCCGCTGGTGCTGTCATCACCTCCGCGCAGTGTGTAGCAACGAAAATCTTCTTCCAGAATCTTGGTGCGAATCCACTCCAATGTCCATTGACTTTGGTTTGTGGCAAGCTGAGTCCGCTTATAAATTGCAGCCAAGGACTCCGGCAGCAGGCTGAGCATCTTGAGACACTTAGTCTGCTCAGGGTACGTGATGCCCGCAATCGCCAATTTCGCGTAGAGTTCCCTCATTCTTGTCCAGAACGGGCTGCACAGGTTCATTCTCGCCTCAACCGCAGCATGGACAGCTCCCCGATCCAGCATGAGAGAAGCAGCAACCGATGTCGGAGCGTGCAGGTCCTTGAGCACTGCCCATGCTTGGGCCCACAATCAATTTCCGGTAGCAGATGCATGATGTGATGCCTCTGGTTCAGCTCCAAGCTTTGTGACAGTAGATAATACCCAGCAGATGAACGTTCATCCCAGTCCGCTTGCTCTGCCATTTCCTTTGGCCTGGGCTCCGTTCCAATCAATGAGCTTCAAGAGGCCAATTTGTCGAAAGTAGAGCTGCATCTTCCATGCCCAATCATCATAGCCATCTCCAGAGAACTTCTAATGGTGAAGTTCTTCAGCACTTCCCTTAAGCAGTGACCCCTGGCTTGTACGCGCTCCCCTTTGCGCCTGCAATGCCAGAATCTTGGGTTGAGCTGCCTCCTTGGACTGAAGTATCACCTCCACCAGAGTCCTCCTTATCTCCCATCGTATTTTAGGTCCCAAATGCGTGATAAATAGGCTCTGATACCACTTGTTGGTTAGAGAAGGCTATAAGCAGATGATTCAATGGCTCCTTGGAAATTTCTGCAGCACTTCGTTATGACGCCCAGAAAACTCGCGGACCTTCGAATAGCTATATCCAAAACTCCAATCGTGAAACGATCTGAAAATCGGATATGTTGTAGCTGGCAGCGGTCAGCTTTCCACTGAAAGTTGAATCACTTGATTCCGTAGCTTAACGAGTGAGCTATGGCGTTTGGCGCACTGGGGGGTAATCTGCCCTAGGAGAAATTGAACAGTCCTCAGAGTCACTATAATTGAAAGCTTACAAGTTCAGAGGCATGATGGAAAAGGCATTGAAGCATAGTTGGAAGGTGGGGTAGGAAGGGAAGGATGAAAGGGAAGGACCCTGGAGGCCCATGGTCAAGAACATGACAAGAGTCAAAGTTTTGACTCCCCATCCTCAGGTTCAGCCAGCCTGGCAAGACAAAATTCACACTGTGCCAGGTTGGCCTCCAAACCCCAAATGCTGCAGCTGCAAGGTGGGGACAAAAGTCCCACACATGCTGGTCCCTCCTCGTTATAGGGCTCTCCAACTTTGGTGTAGCAGCTGACAAGGACTTCCAATGAGTTGTAACAAATCCATCAAACATTTCTTCGTAACTTCTTCATATGTGCTCCGATTCCAACAATTCTTGGCTCGTTGGAATGGCTCGATCTGATGCACAATCCAAGCACATCTGCACAAGCACAAGATGAATATGCAAAGACATGCAAACCCAACAAACCACACAAACAACGTAGCACACAAAACACATGCAACGAAATGATGCGAACAGACGACAGGATGACGTGCAAACGAATATGCACCAACAGCTTTTACGCACCAATACAACCTCCGAGCATGGATCATGCGCTAGCGGGCCTCAACGGGGGAAGTGGCTCGTTTCAAGAGATGCAGAGTACAACAAGCCAGATGGAGAATCACACGTGGGACCTGGTGTACTTGCCAAATGGGAAGAAGGCAATACAGTGCAAGTGGCTGGCAAAAAATCAAGACGGATGAGAAAGGAGAGCCATCAGTTTACAAGAGCAGGCTGGTGGCAAAGGGGTTTCAGCAGAAAGAGAAGGAAGATTACAAAGAAGTGTTTGCCCAACTGCTAAGTCTCCAACGCTACGTGTGCTGCTAGCGGTAGCTGCTGTGCGCAAATGGAAGGTGAAGCAGATGGACATCGTAACCGCTTTTCTGTACGGCATTGTGGAAGAGGAGGTGTACATGGTTCAACCCCTGGCTATGAGGATGGAACCGGTCGTGTCTGCAAACTTAACAAGGCCATCTATGGCTTGAAGCAGGCCCCGAGATGCTGGTACAACAGGCTGGCCAGTGCACTGGAAGGGATTGGATTCCGTGCGAGTGCATGCGACGAGAGCCTATTCCTGATGGGAGAGGGGGAGTCACTTGTGCTTCTGCTGGTGTACGTGGATGACATCTGCTCTTCAGCAGCAGTGACAAGGAGATCGATGGGGTGCAGCGGAAGCTCACAGAGCAGTTCAAGTGCAAGTCACTTGGAGAGGCAAGGTACTACCTGGGAATGCACATTGAGCGGGATACTGAACGTGGCTGGCTCAAACTGCATCAGGGACAGTACATCAACACCTTGGCTGAGAAGTACTCTTTGCAGGAAGAACGGGAAGTGGTCACACCTTTGCCTTCCGAGTTCAAACTCATAAAGGCAGCTGAAGGAGAAGGAGTTGAGAGTGAAGACCAGAGGCAATTCCAATCCATGGTCGGGAGCCTACTCTACGCTGCTGTGCATACTCGGCCTGACATCAGCTTTGCTGTGGGACAGCTGGCTCGAGTAGTGCAAAATCCAACAGAAGAGCAGTGTGGTGCAGCGGAGAGAGTGGTGCGCTACCTCAAGTCATACCCTACAGTGGGAGTACAGTATTCAGCCTCTGCTCAACTCAGTCAAAAAGGAGTTGAAGTCCTCAAAGAGAATGGGGAGCAGCTCGGAGAAGGAAAGGTGTTCCTTTCCTGTTTTGCTGATGCCACGTGGGCTTCTGAGCATGAGGATTCATCATCAGTTGGTGGATACATCTGCATGGTGGGAGGTGGGCCTGTAAGTTGGAGGTCCAAGAAGCAGTCTGAGACGGCACTATCTTCAGTGGAATCTGAGTACATGGCGATGTTTCATGCGGCAAAAGAAATCATCTGGCTAAGGAGGCTCTTGAAGGAGATCGGCCATGAACAGACTTGTGCGACACCTCTGTTCAGTGATAGCAAGGGAGCCATTGCCATGGCGCGCAATGCAGTTCTTCATGGGTTGAACAAGCACATGAGGATCAAGTGGCATTGGCTACGGAAGGAGGTGAAGCTTGGGACACTGGATCCGATCTACGTGAAAACTCAGCAACAGCCAGCCGACTTCCTTACCAAGCGGCTAGCTGAAGAGCCACACTGGCGCTGTGCGAGGAAGGCGGGAATGTCCTTGAACTAGAGACGGCGAAACAAGCCGACAGTCTGAGGGGGAGTGTGTTGGTGCATATTCATTTGCACGTCATCCTGTCGTCTGTTCGCATCATTTCGTTTGCATGTGTTTTGTGTGCTACGTTGTTTGTATGGTTTGTTGGGTTTGCATGTCTTTGCATGTTCATCTTGTGCTTGTGCAGATGTGCTTGGATTGTGCATGACATCGAGCACATTCCAACGAGCCAAGAATTGTTGGAATCGGAGCACATATGAAGAAGTTACGAAGAAATGTTTGATGGATTTGTTACAACTCATTGGAAGTCCTTGTCAGCTGCTACACCAAAGTTGGAGAGCCCTATAACGAGGAGGGACCAGCATGTGTGGGACTTTTGTCCCCACCTTGCAGCTGCAGCATTTGGGGTTTGGAGGCCAACCTGGCACAGGGTGAATTTTGTCTTGCCAGGCTGGCTGAACCTGAGGATGGGGAGTCAAAACTTTGACTCTTGTCATGTTCTTGACCATGGGCCTCCAGGGTCCTTCCCTTTCATCCTTCCCTTCCTACCCCACCTTCCAACTGTGCTTCAATGCCTTTTCTATCATGCCTCTGATCTTGTAAGCTTCAATCATAGTGACTCTGAGGACTGTCAACTTCTCCTAGGGCAGATTACCCCCCAGTGCGCCAAACGCCATAGCTCACTCGTTCAGCTACGGAATCGAGTGATTCAACTTTCAGTGGAAAGCTGACGCTGCCAGCTACAACATATCCGATTTTCAGATCGTTTCACCGATTGGAGTTTTTGATATAGCTATTCGAAGGTCGCGAGTTTTCTGGGCGTCATAACGAAGTGCTGCAGAAATTTCCAAGGAGCCATTGAATCATCTGCTTATAGCCTTCTCTAACCAACATATGGCCCTGTCTTTCCTCCGCCGGACTCGTCTCCGGCTCGTTTTCCCCCTTGTTCCCCTCCTATGTCTCCTCCTCTATCTCCTGGCTCGACGCCTCCTTCTCACCTCTGGTCCCGCCATGCCTCCCGTGCTCGTCCTGTCTCTCTTATTCAGCACTCTCATGCTATGTTGCTTTGTTCCCACATGTCTCATCCTCCCCTCCTCCCGTCGCCTCCTCCATTGTCGCTTGTTGTCGCTCCATCTCCTCTATGTGACTTCCTTCGTGCCACTAGTCCTCTTGTTCCTTGGGTCCTTGTCGCCCTTATTACCGACCCGTCTGTTCCTGTCTCGAGTCTTCACGCGCTTGTCGTTGCCGTTGCTGACTTTGCCTCTACCCACTGCCTTGACTATGCCACCGCTCTGGTCTCTGACCTTGCCCGTCCTCTGTCCGTCGGGGGTGCTCCTACCCTTGGCAGTGACGTCCTGGAGGATCGGCAGTATGAGCTTGCTTTCTTGTCTGAGGTTGCGCCTCATTACTGCTCCATGCTGTTAGTCCCTGAGGGGGACCCATTCGCCCTTGACATCCCGATCCCTCGCACCTACGCTGAGGCGACCTCGGGACCCTGGGCCTCTCAGTGGATAGCTGCCATGGACGCGGAGATGGCATCTTGGAGATCCACCGGCACCTACGTCGACGCAGTTCCCCCATCTGGGGTGAACGTAGTCGATGGCCGGTGGCTCTTCAAGGTGATGCACCCTTCTGGAGAGCCACCTGTGTTCAAGGCACGCTATGTGGCTAGAGGTTTCAGTCAGCAAAAGGGTGTGGACTTCTTCCAGACCTTTGCCACGACCCTGAAGATGACTACTCTTCAGGCGTTGCTACACGTAGCAGCACAGCGTAACTACGAGCTGCACTCTCTCGACTTCTCGACTGCTTTTCTTCTGGGCAGTTTGCACGAGCAGGTCTACCTGCGCCGTCCACCAGGCTCTACCAACACCTTCACCCCGGGGACCCATTAGCCCCTCCGGCACCCGGTTTACGGCCTGCGGCAGGCACCGCGCGAGTGGCACGACATGCTGCGTGTTATGTTAGCTGACCTGCAGTTTTTCCCGTCCTCTGCAGACCCTTCGCTTTTCGTCCGTGCTGGCCAGGCTACGTTCTACATCCTAGTCTACGTAGATGACCCAGTCTTTGCTACTACTGATAGAGATGCACTAGCCTCCGTGAAGGCTCAGCTGCTGAGGGGACACACCTACACTGACCTAGGAGAGCTGCGCCGTTACCTTGGCCTGTAGATCTCCAAAGATAGAGCAGCGCGCACCATCACTTTCACATTATCACACTTGGTGTGCCAGGTCCTTCAGAAGTTCGGTCTTCAGTTCTCCTCCGCACAGCCCACACCTCTGCCAGTAGAACACAAGCTCTCTGCTCTAGTCCCTGAGGAGCCTGCAGAGCCTAGTGGTCCTTATCTTTATGAAGACACTTGCTCCTAAAGATCATCAGCAGCACTGTGTATAGCTTGGTCTAGTTCCGATAGCTTCTCACTTGGTAAGACCCTAACTGTGTACTGCCTTTTATATTATCTTGACTAGCCTTGCTGCTCTTGTCTAGTGGCTGGACTAGTATTGCCGCCTTGGGTTACAGTTGTCTAGTTTGTACTGTTGCTGACAGGTCTTCGGACCCTTCCCTCAGAGGCTGGACTAGTAGTGCCTCCTTGAGCTGTGTGCCTCTTGCTAGTCATGGCCCCTTGTCTAGCCTAGGGGGTGTGTCAACATATAAGAACATATATTATAGGCCAGCTAGGTGTATGCTACTATAGAGTACGACGCATTAGCTATATCCCCTTGTACAACTCTTTCTACTTCACTTTTTCTACGCTGAGAAAAATGCCTTTCGATGTGACCCGTAGGAAACCCTTTCCGAGACCTTCGGGTCACCCTCAAGTGACATCAGGGCTAAGAAAGGGGAATGTGGGGGTTACATTTTTCTGAGGCGCGATCTTGATAGACGTTACTCGATGCGCGTACTACAAGGAATTACCATTCCTTACTTGGGTTCGCCACAGCGAGTACTCGGCCCTCAAGTCACATGCCAAACCAGCCCCCGCCGACCTCATCGGCCCCAGCCTGATCCCGAGTCGCCCCGAACCCATTTTGACCCCGTCACCCTCAGGACTGTGCTCTGAGTTATAATTCATAACGCGTACAATAATTGTAATACCGGTATACCTCTCAAATATGGTATGGATCCTTTTTCCAAAAATCATATTGGGATATTCACTGTTTGTTCCCATCCAATGCCCATTCGCTATTAGTAAAACTGATCGATTTCAGTAAATTGCTTTCAGTAAACTGTCGCATTTTTAGATTTCGGATATTCAATTTATTATTGATAATACATACATCACACACACATTTTGGATTACAACGAAATGGTTCATATCTCAGTGGAGGTGACAGCTAATAATCTGAATACACATAACGTGCACAGGAAGGATGGAAACAGAAGGCAATAAGAAAAAATGTTCGGGAAGAACAGGAGGGGAAAATAAAAATAAACAATACTAAAGTAACACTTTACTTACAGTTAGCCTCACAAAAGAGTAACCTCTGTGTACAGCTCTTTCAGGAAAAGAAACTTCGCAAAATGGCATGGCTGACGTGGTGAAACAAGAGGGAAAAATGGGCATACACAGGTAAGCAATGGCAAACCGCAAATATGTGCCTTACCCTTCATCGTAAACGGCATGGAGCCGTTGTAAGAAAAGTGACAAGTTTTAGGAAACAGCAATGTCGATCATGTGCCATGACCTGAATAAAGACCACATCAACGGAAAAAACGGCTGAGGTCCAGAGTTCTGAATGAACATTTGCATTATTCCTGGAAAAGCGGGAATAAGACACGGTTTGAAGTGACAAAACGTCGTAACACGAATGCCAACGTCCGACTAAAGATCAGGCAAGAATGGGAGCTGCGAACGAGGCAAAACCAAAAACAGGGAATCAAACATATGCACTCGAGTCTGTTATGGGTCCACACGCAAACAAAGTACCTGAGGTATTCGCACAAGTACAACATCGATGAGGTGACTGTCCGAGGGCTGTGGGCTTGGGTATCTGAGAGAAGCATAGAAAAATGTATAGCGTTCATTCAGAAAATACGAAATGCGGGGGGTGGCTAACTCAGCCAACGTAGCTGATGTGCATGGTGCAACTCAAAGGACGAGAGGTAAAGACTTTCATGAGAATCATTTAATGACTAGGTTCAGGGTTGAGTTCAGATTATGTCCACTGCTAGGAGCCAGCTTAGCACAACGAAGAACCTGGGTTTGGGGTTGTATTTCGTGGTTTGAGTTTCTGAGTTCGTTGTGTAACACTGTCAGTTGAATACCAACTTCTCGTGGGAATATTGCGCCGAAATCTTTTGTAAAGGCTCTGCTTTCGACACAGAGACAAACATTCTTCGCGAAACCGCCCCGCGGAAACCGCCCCGCCTTTTCGTTCCGTCCTTACCAAGCCAGGTGTCATGAGTTTGCAACCGACGAATCAGTGAAAACACAAGTGTCCTCTCATTGGTCAGCTGTTGGGAGGCCTCACCCATCAATCTCGTACACGTAAAAGTGGCCCCGTCTAGGGTCATACAAGTCTTAAATTTACATCAAACTAGTTCTCCACTTCGCTGTACACACGCGTTTGCAATTGGACGCAAAGCCAGTAGGAACCATCGAGGCCAACACCAGCTTGGCAAGCAGCTCCTGATTGGTTGTCATTTTTCGTGGCAATAGGTAACGAATTGTTTTGCCAGGGTAACAGCTTCGCCTTGCGCACAGGTTTCTCCAGGCACTCTTGGGGGAAACAATGGGGCATCTTGGCATAGGACACCTGTGGGTATCCCTCGCCCCAAGGCCATTTTGCCTTGGCCGAATTTTGGGATGAAGTAGACTAGACTTCCCTAGAGCGTAAGACTAAGATGTAGAGGTGGAAAAACGCAAGCCTGAGCAATGGAGGAGGTAAGGCTGGAGACTGAAGGTGCTTGCCAGGATTTCGCATCTTTGAGAGAAGTGTCTGAGGCAGAGCACTATGTATTTTGGGTTTCTGAAGTATGTCCCACTTTCTATTTCGTTAGAAACTGCCCGGTTTGATTTTTTGTGTGTATATAAAAAATACGTTGTAACTAGAAGCATACTGAATAATGTGTCTAAATTGCTTTTGTGTCCAGCGGCGAGCTCGCGTGTGGCGGGAAACATTCTTTTTGTGACAAGGTAAGACGATTCTCGCCATTGGATGCAAAAGTTGTAAGGTGTGGCATAGGATTGGAACTTGGAAATAAGCTCTGGTGAAAATGGCGAGCTCGTCTCATAGCAAATTGCCAGGTGGCCACTGGCGCCACTCGGTGGAAATAACCGCTTGCAACAGTGACATATCTGAAATATGATATTTTCCAGTCAGAAATTGCCCAGTTGTTGGAAAAATCGCTTGATAGTGTTATTTTTATGCTAAATTTGCTCGCTTTGGAAAATCGAATTGGATGTGTAACGCATAGTGTATCCAGTGGTGAGCTCGGGGGTTTTGCCACACTGGGCGAAAAAAATCGCCAGGTGGTCAGATTCACTCGCCACAAGGCGACGAGGCCACACCCGCCAACAGAATCAAAGCGAATCAATCAGACAACTTTCCACGATACAGGTCATATGCGATTGGTTAAATGACGACTAGCACAAAATTTACGCAGATGCAATTATTCCGTATGTGCAACACCCAAGTACGCAACCCGGCCAATGGAAACAGCCGCAGTCACCATGCAAATTTTTTGTCCCAATGAGTAGAAATCCTGTGATCCACGTCAAAGCGCTCCTGAGTGATCGACAACCAGTTGCGATTATAGATGTGTCAAAATCACCAACAAGGATTACCATTAGCCAATTTATAAGTGGTCAGGTCATTTGTTTTCTTGCATCTCATGTTTTCTACTACCAACATGGCCGTCTCATGTTTCCCACCTTTCACCTTTCACTTGTATTTGCCCACAGGTCCACCTGTTGAATCTCAAGATTCGTTGCCACAAATACATCAACTTGATAACATTCGTTGTAAGATTCTCTTTATTTAATGGCTTAATATTTCAACGGATGTTAATGGCTGTTAGCACTCTAACTTATGAGTTACTCCTAGGCTTAATCTTACAACAAATGTTATACCCATGAGTATGATATCAACAGGTTAGATTACTCGCGATTTAATGGCTGCTAGCACTCTAACTTGTGAGTTACTGCTAGGCCGTTCAAGAGCTTTCTGGTAAAAATCGTTACATTTTGAGTTTCCGACTGTGTACCAGACTAAGTGCCTTCATTTCCCTTTTGTCCAGTCCTCTTTAAGTAAATTCTTCCATCTTTCCCTCATTTTTTTGTTCCTTTCTCTATTCCTTGTTTCCTTTTCTTTCCTTCTACTGCTTGTTGTCCTTTACTTCTTGAACTCCACTATTCACACTCCTCCTTTTGTTTCCTCATCTTTGATTTAGTTTCATGCCTTGATGCTTCCCTTTCTTCCTCATTACTATCGTTTCGCTAACCTCTGTTGCCTCGTCTCTTTCAACTTCATCGGTTTACATCCCCCCCCACACATTATCCTTACTTCCTATCCTCGCCTTCCATTGCTACCTTGGTTTTGTCTGCTTTTATCTTTGCTGCTCCTCTTTTTGCCTTTCTGTTCCATTACCATGTTCTATAAATTTTCCTATCTTGCTCTGTTCTCCCTCCCTTCTCTCTTTCCCTCTTCCTGGCTTTCGTCCCTTACTTTCTTCGATCCTTCCTCTTCCTAGTGAAGTTCGTACGGAGTATTGAAGAGTGTATGACGTAGTTATACGGATTAGTTAGGTTACATGGGAACGTGAAGGTGCATGAGATTGTGTGATTGCTATGTGAGTCCATTTATTATGTACTCTTACTTATTTTGTTTGTTATTTATTTTGTGTTCATTCTTTCCCCCCACTAGTATCCACTGTCCGTCTTATTTGTAAACAGCATGTTCCCACACCGTCGATTCATACTCTTCGTCTCCCATATTGTTTTCTCGTATGCAGCCTTTCAATTCTCGTTTTGCATCATATTCACTATTTTCCATACGCATTGTTGCTCATGCCCTTTGTTCTTTGGCATTCATCAACTCCGTATCTCAATGTTGTGTTATGCTCAATCTCTTTTCATTCTTGTAAATCAGTTTGTCATATTCACGGCTTCCCATCCCCTTTGCTTTGTAAATCGCTATTTGTTTCATGTGGTTCCGTCGCAGGTTTCGTTTTGGAAGCTTCTAGTGTCCAGTCCAGTGTGGTTTCTGCTGCAGTGGGTGGGGATTACATGTAGTGGGATTATATCATTTTTTTTGCTATCATTAGCTTTCATATCTTCTATTTGTTGGTTGCTGTTTTTATAAGCTATTTTATCACATGCCATTCCATCCCATTATCACCCATTCTCATTGATTGGCAATGCATGTCTGTGCTTTTCAAAACAAGAAACCTTGATTCTGTGCATGTCTATCATATCATAGACGGTTCATAGGCGCGCTCCTTGAGTGTAGTCTCTTGAACTGAATTTGATTGGTTGGGTGTCAACAAATATATTTATATCTAGATTAGCTAGGTCATATTTGTTTATAGCCTAGCTAATTTAGTTCGTAGCAAGTACAACCCTAGTTTTGTATCCCTCGACATTTCCCCTTAATCACACCTTTCCCGCTACTCTAACTTGGTATAGAGCTAGGTTAGATTTTTTCCGCCGCTACTCAAACTTCCCCCATTACTCATACTTCAGCCGTTTTTTTTGTTTGTTTGTTTGTTGTTTTTTTCTTTCTTTCTTCTTTCTTTTTTCGCGCGTGTGGACCTCTCAATTTCGCGCACCCCCTACCCTCCAATTCCGCGCACTGTAGCCTCGACGCACTCCCCCCTAGTGTTCGCACTGTTTCGTACGGCAGCGAGCAGGCCGGCGAGCCGGCAAGCTCACTAGCACGCTTGCCAGCAGCATGCTAGCCGACGTACCAGCCAACGTACCGGCCGGCACGCTAGCCAGCACGCTAGCTAGCATGCCAGTCAACGCGTCAGCCTACGCGCCAGCCAGCTAGCCAGCACGATAGCCAGCTAGCTAGCCAGTGCGTTAGCTAGCGCGCCGCCAGCAATGCTAGCCAGCTCGCCGCTAGCCGCACTTGCCAGCTAGCCGCCAGCAGCGTCCGCCAGCTCACCGCCAGCACCTGTTGCCAGCTACTAGCCAGCAGCGCCTGCCAGCTCGTCACTGGCAAGCTCGCTGCTGCGCCAGCCACTGCCACTGCAGCCACAGACAGCCGCCGCCACTGCAGCCACTGTTGCTGCCGCTGCTGCTTGTGCCACTGCCGCCGCTACTGCTGCAGCTGCCGCTGCAGCCACTGCCACTGCCGCAATCGCTGCAGCCACTGCCGCTGCCGCAGCCGCCTCTGCCGCTGCAGCCACTGCATTTGCTGACATTACCACTGCAGCAACTGCCTCTGCCACTGCAGCCACTGCCTCTGCCACCACTGCCGCTGCTGCAGCCGCCTCTGCCACTGCAGCCACTGCCTCTGGCGCCACTGCCGCTGCAGCAACCGCCTCTGCCACTGCAGCCACTGCCTCTGCCGCCACTGCCGCTACAGCTGCTGCCTTTGCAGCTGCCGCCGCTGCTGCTGCCCTTGCAGCCGCCGCTGCCGCTCCTGCCCTTGCAGCACCGCTTCCGCCACTGCCATTGCAGCTGCCGCTGCCGCCGCTGCCGCCGCTGCCCTTGCAGCAGCCGCTGCAGACGCTGCTCTTGCAATGTCACTTCCGCCGCTGCCCTTGCAGCCGCTGCTGCCGCCACTGCCCTTGTAGCCGCTGCTGCCGCTGCTGCCCTTGCAGCTGCCGCTACAGCTGCTGCCCTTGCAGCGCCACTTCCGCCGCTGCCCTTGCAGCCGCTACTGCCGCCGCTGCCCTTGCAGCTTTTGCTGCCGCCGCTGCCCTTGCAGCCGCCGCTGCCGCTGCTGCCCTTTGCAGCCACCACCGCACTGCCTCTGCCAATGCAGCCGCCGTATCTCTCCCGTTGTAGCCGCCACTGCAGCTGCTTTTGCTTCACAGCCGCAGCTGACACCACAGCCGCCAGCATGGCATTGCCCGACGTCTCCGTTCTACGCTTGGATGGGGAGGGGCGGGCAGTCGGTTTCACCGCCTGGCAGGAGGCAATTCTCATTCAGCTCATGAGTCAACGCGTCGACAACGAGTCCCTGGACGCCCACGTCTCTGGTGAGCTCCCTACGTCCCCCGCCCGGGCGCTCTTGCTGCTGACGCGACGTCTGCGCAGCAGGCTGTGCATGCTGCTGCTCGTGCTGCCTACTCTTTTTGGGCATCCCGCGATGCCACTGCTTGCGTCGCCATCCTCAAGTGCCTGCCGGTTGACGAGCACTCCCACTTTGTGGGTGCTGCATCCGCCCATGCCCTCTGGCTGGATATCCTCGCTAGGTACTCCACCCCATCGTCTGCCACTCTTGGTCGTCCTTCACCACTGTAGCAGACTTAGTCGAGCATCTGCGCTCCTTCGAGGCCCGCTAACGTGCGGCCTATACTGAGGCCCAGCTAGCGCTCGCCCCGCCCCCCCTTTTCGCCACTATCTACTTCCTTGTCACCCGCCTCCCTGGCCGCCTAGCCCCTTCCCGTGGCGCGCTCCTCGCTCGTCACCCTTTTGAGCTCACCCTTGACCTCTACTCCACCTCCCTGACTGAGGTAGAGGACCACCTCCGCACCATCATTGGTTCCACTGGTGCGCCGGCAGTCCCTATCTTTCAGGGCAGCGCTCCCTCCCCAGTGGGAGTCCCTGCCTCCATCTCTGTAGCTGAGACCGCAGTGGCTACCTCTGCCCCCGGCCGCTCCTTTGGCAGCCATGGCAAGGGCAAGGGGGGCAAGGGTCGTGGGGGGTCGGCAGCAGCGGGTGGAGGGGGTGCGGGTGCGGATGGAGAGGGTGGTCAGTCAGAGTCGGGGACTATGCAGCAGCAACAGCAGCCGCAGCAACAGCAGCAGCAGCCGCAGCAGCCCCCGCAGCAGCAGCTGTCGTGGGGACCGGCGGGCCCTGGGGGTGGTGGTCGTGGTGGAGGCCGTGGGGGTTGGGGCCTAGGGCAGTCGGTGCCCTGGGGGTCGCGTGGCTCTTCTGTGAGTCCGGGTGCTCGTGGTTCTGGTGGCGCGGTGACCTGCACGTACTAGCTGCTGACTGGCCCGAAGGCTGGCCATGTGTGCGGGCGCGGGGGGCACACCACCACTCGCTGCTTCTACCACCTGGACGACCTCTATCGTTGTCAGTTCGGCGCGCTGTTGCAGGTACCCCCCTGGCCTGTCTTGCTTCATCGTGGGGTTCCTATCTTTGATATGGATATGATTTAGATTGATCATGCCTTGTATTCTTTGTGTTTTGGTGCTTCTAGTGATACTGGTTCTTATTATCATGTTGTTCGTAGCCTTGGAGCTACTGCTGTGTGTAATCTATGATCCCTTGCTGCGTCAGGCGTAGACTCCTCTGCTGCGTCAGGCATAGGACCTGTACGAGACTCTTCACTGGGCCCCGCCACATCGGCCGTCTCTTTTGTCCTAGATTCTGGCGTGTCTCGGTGCTCTTTTTCGAGATAGTACTGCTCTCACCCTGCTTCCTGCGCCTGTCCGCTTTGCACTAGCTGACTCCTCCGCCACAGCTATCGCGCATAGCACCACCACTCTCCCCTGTCCAGCCGTCCCTTCTGGCTCCCTCATCGGTCTGCATATCCCCTCATTTGACAGGAACCTAGTGGGTGTCGGTCACCTCCAGGCCCGAGGCGTTACCATTACGTTCCCTGGCCATGAGAGACACACTGCTTGCACAGACACAGCCACCAGTCGACACTAGGCCACTTTTGAGCATGACCCAAGGTCAGGTCTCTTTACACTGCACACTGAGTCCTCGCCGGCTGCTGCGTCTGCCGAGGTCGCCGCGTCCTGCTCCTGGCGCTCACCAGCCTACCCGACCCTTCTGTAATGTTGGTTAGAGAAGGCTATAAGCAGATGATTCAATGGCTCCTTGGAAATTTCTGCAGCACTTCGTTATGACACCCAGAAAACTCGCGACCTTCGAATAGCTATATCAAAAACTCCAATCGGTGAAACGATATGAAAATCGGATATGTTGTAGCTGGCAGCGTCAGCTTTCCACTGAAAGTTGAATCACTCGATTCCGTAGCTGAACGAGTGAGCTATGGCGTTTGGCGCACTGGGGGGTAATCTGCCCTAGGAGAAGTTGACAGTCCTCAGAGTCACTATGATTGAAGCTTACAAGATCAGAGGCATGATAGAAAAGGCATTGAAGCACAGTTGGAAGGTGGGGTAGGAAGGGAAGGATGAAAGGGAAGGACCCTGGAGGCCCATGGTCAAGAACATGACAAGAGTCAAAGTTTTGACTCCCCATCCTCAGGTTCAGCCAGCCTGGCAAGACAAAATTCACCCTGTGCCAGGTTGGCCTCCAAACCCCAAATGCTGCAGCTGCAAGGTGGGGACAAAAGTCCCACACATGCTGGTCCCTCCTCGTTATAGGGCTCTCCAACTTTGGTGTAGCAGCTGACAAGGACTTCCAATGAGTTGTAACAAATCCATCAAACATTTCTTCGTAACTTCTTCATATGTGCTCCGATTCCAACAATTCTTGGCTCGTTGGAATGTGCTCGATGTCATGCACAATCCAAGCACATCTGCACAAGCACAAGATGAACATGCAAAGACATGCAAACCCAACAAACCATACAAACAACGTAGCACACAAAACACATGCAAACGAAATGATGCGAACAGACGACAGGATGACGTGCAAATGAATATGCACCAACACACTCCCCCTCAGACTGTCGGCTTGTTTCGCCGTCTCTAGTTCAAGGACATTCCCGCCTTCCTCGCACAGCGCCAGTGTGGCTCTTCAGCTAGCCGCTTGGTAAGGAAGTCGGCTGGCTGTTGCTGAGTTTTCACGTAGATCGGATCCAGTGTCCCAAGCTTCACCTCCTTCCGTAGCCAATGCCACTTGATCCTCATGTGCTTGTTCAACCCATGAAGAACTGCATTGCGCGCCATGGCAATGGCTCCCTTGCTATCACTGAACAGAGGTGTCGCACAAGTCTGTTCATGGCCGATCTCCTTCAAGAGCCTCCTTAGCCAGATGATTTCTTTTGCCGCATGAAACATCGCCATGTACTCAGATTCCACTGAAGATAGTGCCGTCTCAGACTGCTTCTTGGACCTCCAACTTACAGGCCCACCTCCCACCATGCAGATGTATCCACCAACTGATGATGAATCCTCATGCTCAGAAGCCCACGTGGCATCAGCAAAACAGGAAAGGAACACCTTTCCTTCTCCGAGCTGCTCCCCATTCTCTTTGAGGACTTCAACTCCTTTTTGACTGAGTTGAGCAGAGGCTGAATACTGTACTCCCACTGTAGGGTATGACTTGAGGTAGCGCACCACTCTCTCCGCTGCACCACACTGCTCTTCTGTTGGATTTTGCACTACTCGAGCCAGCTGTCCCACAGCAAAGCTGATGTCAGGCCGAGTATGCACAGCAGCGTAGAGTAGGCTCCCGACCATGGATTGGAATTGCCTCTGGTCTTCACTCTCAACTCCTTCTCCTTCAGCTGCCTTTATGAGTTTGAACTCGGAAGGCAAAGGTGTGACCACTTCCCGTTCTTCCTGCAAAGAGTACTTCTCAGCCAAGGTGTTGATGTACTGTCCCTGATGCAGTTTGAGCCAGCCACGTTCAGTATCCCGCTCAATGTGCATTCCCAGGTAGTACCTTGCCTCTCCAAGTGACTTGCACTTGAACTGCTCTGTGAGCTTCCGCTGCACCCCATCGATCTCCTTGTCACTGCTGCTGAAGAGCAGGATGTCATCCACGTACACCAGCAGAAGCACAAGTGACTCCCCTCTCCCATCAGGAATAGGCTCTCGTCGCATGCACTCGCACGGAATCCAATCCCTTCCAGTGCACTGGCCAGCCTGTTGTACCAGCATCTCGGGCCTGCTTCAAGCCATAGATGGCCTTGTTAAGTTTGCAGACACGACCGGTTCCATCCTCATAGCCAGGGGGTTGAACCATGTACACCTCCTCTTCCACAATGCCGTACAGAAAAGCGGTTACGATGTCCATCTGCTTCACCTTCCATTTGCGCACAGCAGCTACCGCTAGCAGCACACGTAGCGTTGGAGACTTAGCAGTTGGGGCAAACACTTCTTTGTAATCTTCTTCTCTTTCTGCTGAAACCCCTTTGCCACCAGCCTGCTCTTGTAAACTGATGGCTCTCCTTTCTCATCCGTCTTGATTTGGCCAGCCACTTGCACTGTATTGGCTTCTTCCATTTGGCAAGTACACCAGGTCCCACGTGTGATTCTCCATCTGGCTGTTGTACTCTGCATCTCTTGAAACGAGCCACTTCCCCCGTTGAGGCCCGGCTAGCGCATGATCCATGCTCGGAGGTTGTATTGGTGCGTAAAAGCAGTATGCAGGCTCCTCGTCATCTGACTCTTGGTCATCACCCAAGAACAGCACTGGCATCTTCGCCTTGAGCCTGTTCCTGCTGCTCAGTTGTGGCTCCTCCACTTGTGGAGCTCAGCAGTTTTCTCGTTGCCATTCTGGTACGTGCAGGGTAGATGGTTTGGATTTACCCATTCTTTCACCTTCACCCAATCCTTTGTCCCCCCACCAATCTGTTTCCTTCGCTTTGGCAGACTTGGTGTTTTGGAAGCCTCTTGCTGCTGCTGCTCCGGATCCTTGACTTCAGCATCAGCTGCAATATCCTCATTGCTTCCTTCATCAGTACCGGGCTTGCCGTTGGCGCAGTGACTTCGCTGTCCTCAGGTTCGGACAGATCGAAGTGCATAGTGATCTCTTCCAGTTGCTGGGTGACCCTTGCCTCCGGCTGCTTGCTCCCACTTGCCATACATGATGTTCTCCACAAATTTGACATCCCGACTATCAAACAGCACATTCTTTGAGGGCTCCCAGAGTAGCCACCCCTTGCTCTCTGCCGCAAGCCAAGGTGCACACCACCAAAGTGCAGATGCTCCAAGCTTTGTCCTGTACGGTTAGGGACATGCGCCACTGCCATGCATCCGAACACCGAAGCATGTCCACTGGAGGCTTCTTTCCAAGCCACCTCTCCAGCGGCACCCACATATCATCAGCCACCTTTGTGAGTACGCGGTTCCTTGCCACTGTAGCATGCCTCACCGCATGAGGCCACATGGAGTTCCCCAGCCCTGATTCGATCAGCAGCGCTCGCGCAGTTTCCAGGATGGTCCTATTAGCCCTCTCAGCAACGCCATTTGACTGAGGGGTATAGGACGTCGTTAGCTGATGCTCAATGCCTTGTTTCTTGAGCCACGCAGTCAGATCTCCTCCTAGAAACTCTCCACCTCGGTCGGTTCTGATGCTCTTGCATGGGTGCCCAGATTGTCGCTCGACGAACGGCAGCCAATCATCTCGTATTGTTGAGGCAGCATGATCCTTCTGCTTCAACGGGTATGCCCACATCAGCCGACTCCAGTCATCAACTATTGTCAGGAAGTACCTTTCCCCCTTACTTCCTCGGACTGGAAAAGGTCCTACGAGGTCCATGTGCACCAGTTCCAGTGCTGCCTTGCTTTTCCCAGCTACGCCGTGAAAGGGGAACCGTGTGAACTTGCTCAGCAGACACGTCTCGCACTTGGTAGCATTTGGTTGCCCAGAAAGCTTGAGCCCCTTTACTGCTTCTTCCTTATGCAGTTGCTGCAGCAATGGCATAGCCACATGCCCTAGACGCCTGTGTGCGGTTTCCCAATCAGTCTCCCCCGACCTTGCAGAAACCGTCACTCCTGCAGCACTAACTGCATTACACTCCCCCTGGACTCCAGAACCCGCCTTTACTTCTCCCAACTCCTTCTTTGTTGATTCCCATATCAGTGCAGGGATCTGCCACATGGATCTGAAGACATCTCTGCTTTCGTGTAAATCCCATAACACACGATCTCCTCGCAGCCCCTTGAATGTTTTGGATCCATTGGTGGTGGTGCTGACTCCGGCCTGGCCTAGCTTGCGCAGCGATATCAGGTTGGCCTTCAGCCCCGGTACGAGTAACACATCCTTCAGCACAACCAGTCCACCATCAGGTGCTCTGAATGCAGCTCGACCAACTCCAGCGACCTTCACTGCATGTCCGGATGCTGAGCGCACTTCAGAGATTGGAGGCGCTCGCACAGCATCCAGCAAGTCCTTGCGTGGTGTCATTGTCCATGCAGCACCAGAGTCCATGACCCACATGTCAAGCGGGTGCAATTCCTCTCCAGCCCTTGCAACAGCTGTGCCACTGTCATCTTTGTCACACACATGGTAGAACTGTCCAGCATTCCTCTCCTCATTTCGCATTCCTCTGTCATCCTTGGAGGTTTCTTCAGCAGGATCAGCTACCATGTTGGCACCTCCATGTGGTTGTTTTCCTCCATTCCCCTTCTCCGATTGGTTCCAAGGGGTCCACCAGTCGGGCTTGGTAGGGCAGCGAAACCATGGATGCCCTTCTTCCTTGCAATACCAGCACTCTCCCCTCAAGCGTGGTTCACTGTTGTCATTGTTGGAGTGACCACCTCTTCCTCTTGCACCAGCGCCACCACGCCCCCGCTGGTTCCAAGTCCCGCGACCACCTTGGCTGTGGTAAGAGCGACCGCGATTGCCACGCCCTCGATCCCTCCATGTCCCTTGCATGGCATAGCCGCTGGTGCTGTCATCACCTCCGCGCAGTGTATAGCGACGAAAATCTTCTTCCAGAATCTTGGTGCGAATCCACTCCAATGTCCATTGACTTTGGTTTTGTGGCAAGCTGAGTCCGCTTATAAATTGCAGCCAAGACTCCGGCAGCAGGCTGAGCATCTTGAGACACTTTGTCTGCTCTGGGTACGTGATGCCTGCAATCGCCAATTTCGCGTAGAGTTCCCTCATCTTGTCCAGTACGGGCTGCACAGCTTCATTCTCGCTCAACCGCAGCATGGACAGCTCCCGATCCAGCATGAGAGAAGCGGCAACCGATGTCGGAGCGTGCAGGTCCTTGAGCACTGCCCATGCCTTGGGCCCACAATCAATTTCCGGTAGCAGATGCATGATGTGATGCCTCTGGTTCAGCTCCAAGCTTTGTGACAGTAGATAGTACCCAGCAGATGAACGTTCATCCCAGTCCGCTTGCTCTGCCATTTCCTTTGGCCTTGGCTCCGTTCCAATCATGAGCTTCAAGAGGCCAATTTGTCGAAAGTAGAGCTGCATCTTCCATGCCCAATCATCATAGCCATCTCCAGAGAACTTCTCAATGGTGAAGTTCTTCAGCACCTCCTTAAGCAGTGACCCCTGGCTTGTACGCGCTCCCCTTTGCGCTGCAATGCCAGAATCTTGGGTTGAGCTGCCTCCTTGGACTGAAGTATCACCTCCACCAGAGTCCTCTTTATCTCCCATCGTATTTTAGGTCCCAAATGCGTGATAATAGGCTCTGATACCACTTGTTGGTTAGAGAAGGCTATAAGCAGATGATTCAATGGCTCCTTGGAAATTTCTGCAGCACTTCGTTATGACGCCCAGAAAACTCGCGACCTTCGAATAGCTATATCAAAAACTCCAATCGGTGAAACGATCTGAAAATCGGATATGTTGTAGCTGGCAGTGTCAGCTTTCCACTGAAAGTTGAATCACTCGATTCCGTAGCTAAACGAGTGAGCTATGGCGTTTGGCGCACTGGGGGGTAATCTGCCCTAGGAGAAGTTGACAGTCCTCAGAGTCACTATGATTGAAGCTTACAAGTTCAGAGACATGATGGAAAAGGCATTGAAGCATAGTTGGAAGGTGGGGTAGGAAGTGAAGGATGAAAGGGAAGGACCCTGGAGGCCCATGGTCAAGAACATGACAAGAGTCAAAGTTTTGACTCCCCATCCTCAGGTTCAGCCAGCCTGGCAAGACAAATTTCACACTGTGCCAGGTTGGCCTCCAAACCCCAAATGCTGCAGCTGCAAGGTGGGGACAAAAGTCCCACACATGCTGGTCCCTCCTCGTTATAGGGCTCTCCAGCTTTGGTGTAGCAGCTGACAAGGACTTCCAATGAGTTGTAACAAATCCATCAAACATTTCTTCGTAACTTCTTCATATGTGCTCCGATTCCAACAATTCTTGGCTCGTTGGAATGTGCTCGATGTCATGCACAATCCAAGCACATCTGCACAAGCACAAGATGAACATGCAAAGACATGCAAACCCAACAAACCATACAAACAACGTAGCACACAAAACACATGCAACGAAATGATGCGAACAGACGACAGGATGACGTGCAAACGAATATGCACCAACACATGTCCGGATGCTGAGCGCACTTCAGAGATTGGAGGCGCTCGCACAGCATCCAGCAAGTCCTTGCGTGGTGTCATTGTCCATGCAGCACCAGAGTCCATGACCCACATGTCAAGCGGGTGCAATTCCTCTCCAGCCCTTGCAACAGCTGTGCCACTGTCATCTTTGTCACACACATGGTAGAACTGTCCAGCATTCCTCTCCTCATTTCCCATTCCTCTGTCATCCTTGGAGGTTTCTTCAGCAGGATCAGCTACCATGTTGGCACCTCCATGTGGTTGCTTTCCTCCATTCCCCTTCTGCGATTGGTTCCAAGGGGTCCACCAGTCGGGCTTGGTAGGGCAGCGAAACCATGGATGCCCTTCTTCCTTGCAATACCAGCACTCTCCCCTCAAGCGTGGTTCACTGTTGTCATTGTTGGAGTGACCACCTCTTCCTCTTGCACCAGCGCCACCACGCCCCCGCTGGTTCCAAGTCCCGCGACCACCTTGGCTGTGGTAAGAGCGACCGCGATTGCCACGCCCTCGATCCCTCCATGTCCCTTGCATGGCATAGCCGCTGGTGCTGTCATCACCTCCGCGCAGTGTATAGCGACGAAAATCTTCTTCCAGAATCTTGGTGCGAATCCACTCCAATGTCCATTGACTTTGGTTTTGTGGCAAGCTGAGTCCGCTTATAAATTGCAGCCAAGACTCCGGCAGCAGGCTGAGCATCTTGAGACACTTTGTCTGCTCTGGGTACGTGATGCCTGCAATCGCCAATTTCGCGTAGAGTTCCCTCATCTTGTCCAGTACGGGCTGCACAGGTTCATTCTCGCTCAACCGCAGCATGGACAGCTCCCGATCCAGCATGAGAGAAGCGGCAACCGATGTTGGAGCGTGCAGGTCCTTGAGCACTGCCCATGCCTTGGGCCCACAATCAATTTCCGGTAGCAGATGCATGATGTGATGCCTCTGGTTCAGCTCCAAGCTTTGTGACAGTAGATAATACCCAGCAGATGAACGTTCATCCCAGTCCGCTTGCTCTGCCATTTCCTTTGGCCTTGGCTCCATTCCAATCATGAGCTTCAAGAGGCCAATTTGTCGAAAGTAGAGCTGCATCTTCCATGCCCAATCATCATAGCCATCTCCAGAGAACTTCTCAATGGTGAAGTTCTTCAGCACCTCCTTAAGCAGTGACCCCTGGCTTGTACGCGCTCCCCTTTGCGCTGCAATGCCAGAATCTTGGGTTGAGCTGCCTCCTTGGACTGAAGTATCACCTCCACCAGAGTCCTCCTTATCTCCCATCGTATTTTAGGTCCCAAATGCGTGATAATAGGCTCTGATACCACTTGTTGGTCAGAGAAGGCTATAAGCAGATGATTCAATGGCTCCTTGGAAATTTCTGCAGCACTTCGTTATGACGCCCAGAAAACTTGCGACCTTCGAATAGCTATATCCAAAACTCCAATCGGTGAAACGATCTGAAAATCGGATATGTTGTCGCTGGCAGCGTCAGCTTTCCACTGAAAGTTGAATCACTTGATTCCGTAGCTTAACGAGCGAGCTATGGCGTTTGGCGCACTGGGGGGTAATCTGCCCTAGGAGAAGTTGACAGTCCTCAGAGTCACTATGATTGAAGCTTACAAGATCAGAGGCATGATAGAAAAGGCATTGAAGCACAGTTGGAAGGTGGGGTAGGAAGGGAAGGATGAAAGGGAAGGACCCTGGAGGCCCATGGTCAAGAACATGACAAGAGTCAAAGTTTTGACTCCCCATCCTCAGGTTCAGCCAGCCTGGCAAGACAAAATTCACACTGTGCCAGGTTGGCCTCCAAACCCCAAATGCTGCAGCTGCAAGGTGGGGACAAAAGTCCCACACATGCTGGTCCCTCCTCGTTATAGGGCTCTCCAACTTTGGTGTAGCAGCTGACAAGGACTTCCAATGAGTTGTAACAAATCCATCAAACATTTCTTCGTAACTTCTTCATATGTGCTCCGATTCCAACAATTCTTGGCTCGTTGGAATGTGCTCGATGTCATGCACAATCCAAGCACATCTGCACAAGCACAAGATGAACATGCAAAGACATGCAAACCCAACAAACCATAAAAACATCGTAGCACACAAAACACATGCAAACGAAATGATGCGAACAGACGACAGGATGACGTGCAAATGAATATGCACCAACATCCAGCAACTCTGCCACCCCGTTCCTCAGGTCTATGCATGGTCGAAATGGCTTCAAGGGGCTCTGATACCACTTGTTCTAACCACAATACGCTCAGATGTGCCTAAAATGATGAAATTGTGCACAGTCAGAATTCCGTCAGACAGCTTCAAATATTGATGCCGATGGCGGCACTTAGAATTGACGAATGGTCAACGAGCACATAGCCCCATGGAACGGAGAAGGCGATGGTGGTCAGCCTTGCCGAGAGCCTTGGTAAAGAGGTCGGCGAGGTTGCAATCTGAGGCGATGTACCGTACCGTCAGCTGGTCACTCTGAACAAGATCTCGGATGAAGAAATGACGAAGTTCGATGTGCTTGGTGCGAGAGTGGAACACAGGATCCTTGGTGAAGTGAATGGTGCTCTGATTGTCACACCACAGGGTGGGCGACTGCTGGGGGTAGCCTAACTCAGCGAGGAGAAAGGAGAGCCAGCGTGCCTCTTGAGCAGCCATTGTGCCCGCGTAGAGCTCGGCCTCGCAGGACGACAGGGAGACTGCAGAGGACCGAGTGGAGCGCCAGCTGATGACTCCGCTACCAAAGGTGAAGCAGTACCCTTGGGAGGAGCGTCTGTCAGTCTGGTCATCGGCCCATGAGGAGTCTGTGTATCCCTCGAGCTTGACTGGAGAGGTACCACCAAGAGTGAGGATGTGAGACTTGGTGGCTTGTAGATAGCGGAGGCCCTCGTGCCGGCCAGGTGTGTGGCGGCACCAACCACGCCCTTGCCTCCTGCTTCAAGAAAAAGGATGACAATTGGTATGCCGTCGATGGGACCGCCTCGAAGCCGTCAAGCTGGATGGTCAATCATGCTCCTCGCAAGATCAATCAAGTCAAAGCACAGGAATCCGTGCAGGCTGCTGTAGCTCCCACTGCTGATGTGCGCCTCCACATGTTGTTCCCTGGCACTCCCATGATTAATGAGACGATTTCGCAGTATCCTGGCTCACAAAGCACCTCAGCCACAATAGAGTTCACCCTCGACAGTGGGGCCACTCACACGGTTCTCAAGGAAGAACACTCCTTCAAGCCATACGAGACTCCAATCCGTCTACTTGGAGCAGACTCCAGTTTCACAACACACGCCAAGGGCTCCTCCACAGCTCCGTGCCCAGCTTTTCCTTCCGGCAGTGTGACCGGCATGTGTGTTCCCACACTACGCCACAATCTCGTGGCCCAACACGAGCTCCAACGGGCAGGCGTCACCACGATCTTCCCAGCACACTCGGATCACTGTGACCTCCTCGACCCTAAGTCCAACAAGCTCCTAGCACGCTTCACACTCAACAGCAGCAGGCTCTGCACGCTGCGTTCACCTGCACCTCTCGCCGCCCTCTCCCAAGCGCAAGCTGCCAGCACCACTCTGTGTTCGTGTCGCAGCTTCGCCAACCCAACCATCCTCTACCACCATCGCTTGGGTCACCCCAACTTCCGTACGCTTGCCGACATCGCTTCCAAGAAACTTCTTCTTGGCCTCCCGTCGGCGCTTCCTCCACCAACAGACTCACCTGCACCCACCCGCCTCGACTGCACCAAGAGCAAGCTCAGGCAGCAGCCGCATCCTTCCTCCCCATCCGTCGCAGCTGCTCCGCTGGACCTAGTGCACATGGATGTCTGGGGCCCAGCTCCAGTCGCATCCCGAGGCGGTCATCGGTACTTTCTTACACTAGTCGATGACCACTCGCGGTATGTTTCTGTGCACCTCCTGCATACCAAGGCGGAGGCACCTGATGTCATCATGGCGTGGGTGCGCCAGGCTCAAGTCACTTTCAGTACTCCCCTGAAGTGCCTCCATTCTGATGGAGGGGGAGAATTTCGCAATGGCAAACTCGATACCTTCTGTGCGGCCCAAGGGATTCGGCAAACCTTCACGCTCCCCGAAAGCCCGCAGCAGAATGGCATTGCAGAGAGCCGCAACCACACCTTGGTTCAGATCGCTCGCTGCCTCCTCAGTCACGCCAACGCACCACGGTCACTCTGGGGATATGCCCTCTTCCATGCGGCACTCCTCTACAATCTTTATCCGCATCCCCACCGGCCCGACACCACACCTACCGCTCTCTGGCTTGGGGTCACGCCTTCCGCCCGCTGTCTACGCGTCTGGGGGTGTACCGCGTATGTGTTGCTAAGCCCCCACACGCGCAGGAAGCAAGGTGGCAAGCTTGGTCCCAAAACCCAGACCTGCATGTACCTGGGGCACAACTCCGACTCCCCAGACTACTTGTTCCTCAACCCAATCATCAGACAGCTGATTCGCAGCCGTGATGTCGTCTTCGATGAGACACGCCCATTCCACTCTGCGACGACGGGCGAGCCTCCTCCACCTCCCCCGACGCTTGTTTGGGCAGACTTCGATGCCCCACCTCCGGCCGCTGCCCCTTCTCCGGGGCCTTCTCCGTCCGGCGTGTCTCACCCGGCCTCCCCAGTATCCTCCGCAGCGGCACCTCCTCCTGCTCCGCCTTCCCCGCGCGTCGAGCCCGGCTCACCAGTCTCCTATCAGAGGCGCCCAGTCCCTCCGGTCCCACCGCAGCCGCCTTCGTCTCCGGTCTCTAGTCGCACTCGTTCCAAGGGACCGGCTCCGCCTCTCGCCTGGGGACCAGCCGCCTTCTCCATCCGGTGTTCGGTCACCCCGCCTCCTCTTGCTGGGGGTGATGTCTCCTCCATTCGTATTCTCCCCCGTCCACTTCTGGAGGACAGGCATGAGGAGCTGTTTGACCTTCACGCGGTCTGCCAATTTCTCTCTCACATCTTCCCGGACATTACTGACTGCCCTTCCCTCAACTTCACCGAGAACCCGACCATTCCGACTCCTCGCACAAAAGAGGAAGCTCTCTGGGGGCCTTATAAGAAGGAGTGGAAGGCAGCAATGGATGTGGAGAACGAGACGTTCATTCGCAACAACAGCTTTGACGATGTTGTTCCCCCTTCCGGTGTCAACATCGTCGGCGGAAATTGGATCTTCCGAGTCAAACAACTCCCAGGCGAAGCTCCACTGTTCAAGGCACGATACGTGGCGAAGGGTTTCACCCAGAAGGAGTATCTCGACTTCTTTCACCCAGTCTGCTCTCAGTTCCGCCCTTCTCATGAAGGATCTTGGTGACCTCAAAAACTACCTGGGGATGGAGATCACTCATGACCGCCAGGCTTGCACGATCACCCTCTCTCAGGAGTCCTACATCGACAACCTTCTCAAGCGGTTCGACATGGACTCCAGTAACTCTGTCTCCACTCCACTCCCACTACAGCATCAAGCTCACAGCCCCTCCAGTTCCTTCTCCTGACACCTGCAAGGACCCGTACCCTGAGCTAGTCGGTTCAATCATGTATGCCATGATGTGCACTCGACCAGACTTGGCTTACCCGGTTATAGTGTCCTCTCTCGGTACGTCTCCCCCGGACGCTACACTGCCTCGCATTGGTCTGCAGCCAAGAGGGTCCTCCGCTATCTACAAGCCACCAAGTCTCACATCCTCACTCTTGGTGGTACCTCTCCAGTCAAGCTCGAGGGATACACAGACTCCTCATGGGCCGATGACCAGACTGACAGACGCTCCTCCCAAGGGTACTGCTTCACCCTTGGTAGCGGAGTCATCAGCTGGCGCTCCACTCGGTCCTCTGCAGTCTCCCTGTCATCCTGCGAGGCCGAGCTCTACGCGGGCACAATGGCTGCTCAAGAGGCACGCTGGCTCTCCTTTCTCCTCGCTGAGTTAGGCTACCCCCAGCAGTCGCCCACCCTGTGGTGTGACAACCAGAGTGCCATTCACCTCACCAAGGATCCTGTGTTCCACTCTCGCACCAAGCACATCGAAATTCGTCATTTCTTCATCCGAGATCTTGTTCAGAGTGACCAGCTGACGGTACGGTACATCGCCTCAGATTGCAACCTCGCCGACCTCTTTACCAAGGCTCTCGGCAAGGCTGACCACCATCGCCTTCTCCGTTCTGTGGGGCTATGTGCTCCTTGACCGGGTTTGCAGTCTATGGGGGTGTGTTAGAAATAGACTGCAAATACCACTTTTGTATTTGTACTTTTATATCCTAGTTTAGGTTCTGAATGTTCTAGTGGGTTGGGGTGTACTCACAAATCCCAACCTCACCCAATTGTGATCCCCATAATCTCCAATTACCCAATGGGGATTCCCTCCAATTCCCCCTTCATCCATTCTCTCTCACCTTGCCTTGTACTTATAGAGCCTTGGGCTCCTTACCTAATCAATAATTTCAACTCTATTTCTTACATTAAGTACCAACCGTTACGTGTACCACTCCATAGTTATTCCAAGGCCTAAAGTTAAATAACAAAGTTAATGGTAAGTGATATGGTTAATGTACCAAGTCTATGGTGAGTAGAAAGCCTAACGGTTAGTACTACGACTATGGTAATTATACCACAACATAGGTAAGTACCAAGCTTCATATCAAGTACAGACTCTATTGTTAATACAGAACGTTATGTTATGTACCACACTTCCAAGCCTATATCAAGTGGGTATATAGTAAAAACTAAGCCCACTGGTCCCTACTGGTTTTGGTAGATATGAAGCTTAAAATTGACTTCCATGCCTTACATTAAGTACTGGGTCTTATTAGCATACCCCTACTATGCACGGAGCTCAAGATTAAGTACCACATCAAGCTTCGACTCTATAGCAAGTACCAAGCATAAAGTGCACAAATTTGACATCCCGACTGTCAAACAGCACATTCTTTGAGGGCTCCCAGAGTAGCCACCCCTTGCTCTCTGCCGCAAGCCCAAGGTGCACACACCACAGTGCAGATGCTCCAAGCTTTGTCCTGTACGGTTTAGGGACATGCGCCACTGCCATGCATCCGAACACTCGAAGCATGTCCACTGGAGGCTTCTTTCCAAGCCACCTCTCCAGCGGCACCCACATATCATCAGCCACCTTTGTGAGTACGCGGTTCCTTGCCACTGTAGCATGCCTCACCGCATGAGGCCACATGGAGTTCCCCAGCCCTGATTCGATCAGCAGCGCTCGCGCTGTTTCCAGGATGGTCCTATTAGCCCTCTCAGCAACGCCATTTGACTGAGGGGTATAGGACGTCGTTAGCTGATGCTCAATGCCTTGTTTCTTGAGCCACGCAGTCAGATCTCCTCCTAGAAACTCTCCACCTCGGTCGGTTCTGATGCTCTTGCATGGGTGCCCAGATTGTCGCTCGACGAACGGCAGCCAATCATCTCGTATTGTTGAGGCAGCATGATCCTTCTGCTTCAACGGGTATGCCCACATCAGCCGACTCCAGTCATCAACTATTGTCAGGAAGTACCTTTCCCCTTACTTCCTCGGAATGGAAAAGGTCCTACGAGGTCCATATGCACCAGTTCCAGTGCTGCCTTGCTTTTCCCAGCTACGCCGTGAAAGGGGAACCGTGTGAACTTGCTCAGCAGACATGTCTCGCACTTGGTATCATTTGGTTGCCCAGAAAGCTTGAGCCCCTTTACTGCTTCTTCCTTATGCAGTTGCTGCAGCAATGGCATAGCCACATGCCCTAGACGCCTGTGTGCGGTTTCCCAATCAGTCTCCCCCGACCTTGCAGAAACCGTCACTCCTGCAGCACTAACTGCATTACACTCCCCCTGGACTCCAGAACCCGCCTTTACTTCTACCAACTCCTTCTTTGTTGATTCCCATATCAGTGCAGGGATCTGCCACATGGATCTGAAGACATCTCTGCTTTCGTGTAAATCCCATAACACACGATCTCCTCGCAGCCCCTTGAATGTTTTGGATCCATTGGTGGTGGTGCTGACTCCGGCCTGGCCTAGCTTGCGCAGCGATATCAGATTGGCCTTCAGCCCCGGTACGAGTAACACGTCCTTCAGCACAACCAGTCCACCATCAGGTGCTCTGAATGCAGCTCGACCAACTCCAGCGACCTTCACTGCATGTTGTTGGTTAGAGAAGGCTATAAGCAGATGATTCAATGGCTCCTTGGAAATTTCTGCAGCACTTCGTTATGACGCCCAGAAAACTCGCGACCTTCGAATAGCTATATCAAAAACTCCAATCGGTGAAACGATCTGAAAATCGGATATGTTGTAGCTGGCAGTGTCAGCTTTCCACTGAAAGTTGAATCACTCGATTCCGTAGCTAAACGAGTGAGCTATGGCGTTTGGCGCACTGGGGGGTAATCTGCCCTAGGAGAAGTTGACAGTCCTCAGAGTCACTATGATTGAAGCTTACAAGTTCAGAGACATGATGGAAAAGGCATTGAAGCATAGTTGGAAGGTGGGGTAGGAAGTGAAGGATGAAAGGGAAGGACCCTGGAGGCCCATGGTCAAGAACATGACAAGAGTCAAAGTTTTGACTCCCCATCCTCAGGTTCAGCCAGCCTGGCAAGACAAATTTCACACTGTGCCAGGTTGGCCTCCAAACCCCAAATGCTGCAGCTGCAAGGTGGGGACAAAAGTCCCACACATGCTGGTCCCTCCTCGTTATAGGGCTCTCCAGCTTTGGTGTAGCAGCTGACAAGGACTTCCAATGAGTTGTAACAAATCCATCAAACATTTCTTCGTAACTTCTTCATATGTGCTCCGATTCCAACAATTCTTGGCTCGTTGGAATGTGCTCGATGTCATGCACAATCCAAGCACATCTGCACAAGCACAAGATGAACATGCAAAGACATGCAAACCCAACAAACCATACAAACAACGTAGCACACAAAACACATGCAACGAAATGATGCGAACAGACGACAGGATGACGTGCAAACGAATATGCACCAACACACTCCCCCTCAGACTGTCGGCTTGTTTCGCCGTCTCTAGTTCAAGGACATTCCCGCCATCCTCGCACAGCGCCAGTGTGGCTCTTCAGCTAGCCGCTTGGTAAGGAAGTCGGCTGGCTGTTGCTGAGTTTTCACGTAGATCGGATCCAGTGTCCCAAGCTTCACCTCCTTCCGCAGCCAATGCCACATGATCCTCATGTGCTTGTTCAACCCATGAAGAACTGCATTGCGTGCCATGGCAATGGCTCCCTTGCTATCACTGAACAGAGGTGTCGCACAAGTCTGTTCATGGCCGATCTCCTTCAAGAGCCTCCTTAGCCAGATGATTTCTTTTGCCGCATGAAACATCGCCATGTACTCAGATTCCACTGAAGATAGTGCCGTCTCAGACTGCTTCTTGGACCTCCAACTTACAGGCCCACCTCCCACCATGCAGATGTATCCACCAACTGATGATGAATCCTCATGCTCAGAAGCCCACGTGGCATCAGCAAAACAGGAAAGGAACACCTTTCCTTCTCCGAGCTGCTCCCCCTTCTCTTTGAGGACTTCAATTCTTTTTTGACTGAGTTGAGCAGAGGCTGAATACTGTACTCCCACTGTAGGGTATGACTTGAGGTAGCGCACCACTCTCTTCGCTGCACCACACTGCTCTTCTGTTGGATTTTGCACTACTCGAGCCAGCTGTCCCACAGCAAAGCTGATGTCAGGCCGAGTATGCACAGCAGCGTAGAGTAGGTTCCCGACCATGGATTGGAATTGCCTCTGGTCTTCACTCTCAACTCCTTCTCCTTCAGCTGCCTTTATGAGTTTGAACTCGGAAGGCAAAGGTGTGACCACTTCCCGTTCTTCCTGCAGAGAGTACTTCTCAGCCAAGGTGTTGATGTACTGTCCCTGATGCAGTTTGAGCCAGCCACGTTCAGTATCCCGCTCAATATGCATTCCCAGGTAGTACCTTGCCTCTCTAAGTGACTTGCACTTGAACTGCTCTGTGAGCTTCCGCTGCACCCCATCGATCTCCTTGTCACTGCTGCTGAAGAGCAGGATGTCATCCACGTACACCAGCAGAAGCACAAGCGACTCCCCCTCGCTCATCAGGAATAGGCTCTCGTCGCATGCACTCGCACGGAATCCAATCCCTTCCAGTGCACTGGCCAGCCTGTTGTACCAGCATCTCGGGGCCTGCTTCAAGCCATAGATGGCCTTGTTAAGTTTGCAGACACGACCGGTTCCATCCTCATAGCCAGGTGGTTGAACCATGTATACCTCCTCTTCCACAATGCCATACAGAAAAGCGGTTACGATGTCCATCTGCTTCACCTTCCATTTGCGCACAGCAGCTACCGCCAGCAGCACACGTAGCGTTGGAGACTTAGCAGTTGGGGCAAACACTTCTTTGTAATCTTCCTTCGCTTTCTGCTGAAACCCCTTTGCCACCAGCCTGCTCTTGTAAACTGATGGCTCTCCTTTCTCATCCGTCTTGATTTTTGCCAGCCACTTGCACTGTATTGCCTTCTTCCCATTTGGCAAGTACACCAGGTCCCATGTGTGATTCTCCATCTTGCTGTTGTACTCTGCATCTCTTGAAACGAGCCACTTCCCCCGTTGAGGCCCGGCTAGCGCATGATCCATGCTCGGAGGTTGTATTGGTGCGTAAAAGCAGTATGCAGGCTCCTTGTCATCTGACTCTTGGTCATCACCCAAGAACAGCACTGCATCTTCGCCTTGAGCCTGTTCCTGCTGCTCAGTTGTGGCTCCTCCACTTGTGGAGCTCAACAGCTTTCTCATTGCCATTCTGGTACGTGCAGGGTAGATGGTTGGATTTACCCATTCTTTCACCTTCACCCAATCCTTTGTCCCCCCACCAATCTGTTTCCTTCGCTTTGACAGACTTGGTGTTTTGGAAGCCTCTTGCTGCTGCTGCTCCGGATCCTTGACTTCAGCATCAGCTGCAATATCCTCATTGCTTCCTTCATCAGTACCGCTTGCCGTTGGCGCAGTGACTTCGCTGTCCTCAGGTTCGGACAGATCGAAGTGCATAGTGATCTCTTCCAGCTGCTGGGTGACCCTTGCCTCCGGCTGCTTCTCCCACTTGCCATACATGATGTTCTCCACAAATTTGACATCCCGACTATCAAACAGCACATTCTTTGAGGGCTCCCAGAGTAGCCACCCCTTGCTCTCTGCCGCAAGCCCAAGGTGCACACACCAAAGTGCAGATGCTCCAAGCTTTGTCCTGTACGGTTTAGGGACATGCGCCACTGCCATGCATCCGAACACTCGAAGCATGTCCACTGGAGGCTTCTTTCCAAGCCACCTCTCCAGCGGCACCCACATATCATCAGCCACCTTTGTGAGTACGCGGTTCCTTGCCACTGTAGCATGCCTCACCGCATGAGGCCACATGGAGTTCCCCAGCCCTGATTCGATCAGCAGCGCTCGCGCAGTTTCCAGGATGGTCCTATTAGCCCTCTCAGCAACGCCATTTGACTGAGGGGTATAGGACGTCGTTAGCTGATGCTCAATGCCTTGTTTCTTGAGCCACGCAGTCAGATCTCCTCCTAGAAACTCTCCACCTCGGTCGGTTCTGATGCTCTTGCATGGGTGCCCAGATTGTCGCTCGACGAACGGCAGCCAATCATCTCGTATTGTTGAGGCAGCATGATCCTTCTGCTTCAACGGGTATGCCCACATCAGCCGACTCCAGTCATCAACTATTGTCAGGAAGTACCTTTCCCCCTTACTTCCTCGGACTGGAAAAGGTCCTACGAGGTCCATGTGCACCAGTTCCAGTGCTGCCTTGCTTTTCCCAGCTACGCCGTGAAAGGGGAACCGTGTGAACTTGCTCAGCAGACACGTCTCGCACTTGGTAGCATTTGGTTGCCCAGAAAGCTTGAGCCCCTTTACTGCTTCTTCCTTATGCAGTTGCTGCAGCAATGGCATAGCCACATGCCCTAGACGCCTGTGTGCGGTTTCCCAATCAGTCTCCCCCGACCTTGCAGAAACCGTCACTCCTGCAGCACTAACTGCATTACACTCCCCCTGGACTCCAGAACCCGCCTTTACTTCTCCCAACTCCTTCTTTGTTGATTCCCATATCAGTGCAGGGATCTGCCACATGGATCTGAAGACATCTCTGCTTTCGTGTAAATCCCATAACACACGATCTCCTCGCAGCCCCTTGAATGTTTTGGATCCATTGGTGGTGGTGCTGACTCCGGCCTGGCCTAGCTTGCGCAGCGATATCAGGTTGGCCTTCAGCCCCGGTACGAGTAACACATCCTTCAGCACAACCAGTCCACCATCAGGTGCTCTGAATGCAGCTCGACCAACTCCAGCGACCTTCACTGCATGTCCGGATGCTGAGCGCACTTCAGAGATTGGAGGCGCTCGCACAGCATCCAGCAAGTCCTTGCGTGGTGTCATTGTCCATGCAGCACCAGAGTCCATGACCCACATGTCAAGCGGGTGCAATTCCTCTCCAGCCCTTGCAACAGCTGTGCCACTGTCATCTTTGTCACACACATGGTAGAACTGTCCAGCATTCCTCTCCTCATTTCGCATTCCTCTGTCATCCTTGGAGGTTTCTTCAGCAGGATCAGCTACCATGTTGGCACCTCCATGTGGTTGTTTTCCTCCATTCCCCTTCTCCGATTGGTTCCAAGGGGTCCACCAGTCGGGCTTGGTAGGGCAGCGAAACCATGGATGCCCTTCTTCCTTGCAATACCAGCACTCTCCCCTCAAGCGTGGTTCACTGTTGTCATTGTTGGAGTGACCACCTCTTCCTCTTGCACCAGCGCCACCACGCCCCCGCTGGTTCCAAGTCCCGCGACCACCTTGGCTGTGGTAAGAGCGACCGCGATTGCCACGCCCTCGATCCCTCCATGTCCCTTGCATGGCATAGCCGCTGGTGCTGTCATCACCTCCGCGCAGTGTATAGCGACGAAAATCTTCTTCCAGAATCTTGGTGCGAATCCACTCCAATGTCCATTGACTTTGGTTTTGTGGCAAGCTGAGTCCGCTTATAAATTGCAGCCAAGACTCCGGCAGCAGGCTGAGCATCTTGAGACACTTTGTCTGCTCTGGGTACGTGATGCCTGCAATCGCCAATTTCGCGTAGAGTTCCCTCATCTTGTCCAGTACGGGCTGCACAGCTTCATTCTCGCTCAACCGCAGCATGGACAGCTCCCGATCCAGCATGAGAGAAGCGGCAACCGATGTCGGAGCGTGCAGGTCCTTGAGCACTGCCCATGCCTTGGGCCCACAATCAATTTCCGGTAGCAGATGCATGATGTGATGCCTCTGGTTCAGCTCCAAGCTTTGTGACAGTAGATAGTACCCAGCAGATGAACGTTCATCCCAGTCCGCTTGCTCTGCCATTTCCTTTGGCCTTGGCTCCGTTCCAATCATGAGCTTCAAGAGGCCAATTTGTCGAAAGTAGAGCTGCATCTTCCATGCCCAATCATCATAGCCATCTCCAGAGAACTTCTCAATGGTGAAGTTCTTCAGCACCTCCTTAAGCAGTGACCCCTGGCTTGTACGCGCTCCCCTTTGCGCTGCAATGCCAGAATCTTGGGTTGAGCTGCCTCCTTGGACTGAAGTATCACCTCCACCAGAGTCCTCTTTATCTCCCATCGTATTTTAGGTCCCAAATGCGTGATAATAGGCTCTGATACCACTTGTTGGTTAGAGAAGGCTATAAGCAGATGATTCAATGGCTCCTTGGAAATTTCTGCAGCACTTCGTTATGACGCCCAGAAAACTCGCGACCTTCGAATAGCTATATCAAAAACTCCAATCGGTGAAACGATCTGAAAATCGGATATGTTGTAGCTGGCAGTGTCAGCTTTCCACTGAAAGTTGAATCACTCGATTCCGTAGCTAAACGAGTGAGCTATGGCGTTTGGCGCACTGGGGGGTAATCTGCCCTAGGAGAAGTTGACAGTCCTCAGAGTCACTATGATTGAAGCTTACAAGTTCAGAGACATGATGGAAAAGGCATTGAAGCATAGTTGGAAGGTGGGGTAGGAAGTGAAGGATGAAAGGGAAGGACCCTGGAGGCCCATGGTCAAGAACATGACAAGAGTCAAAGTTTTGACTCCCCATCCTCAGGTTCAGCCAGCCTGGCAAGACAAATTTCACACTGTGCCAGGTTGGCCTCCAAACCCCAAATGCTGCAGCTGCAAGGTGGGGACAAAAGTCCCACACATGCTGGTCCCTCCTCGTTATAGGGCTCTCCAGCTTTGGTGTAGCAGCTGACAAGGACTTCCAATGAGTTGTAACAAATCCATCAAACATTTCTTCGTAACTTCTTCATATGTGCTCCGATTCCAACAATTCTTGGCTCGTTGGAATGTGCTCGATGTCATGCACAATCCAAGCACATCTGCACAAGCACAAGATGAACATGCAAAGACATGCAAACCCAACAAACCATACAAACAACGTAGCACACAAAACACATGCAACGAAATGATGCGAACAGACGACAGGATGACGTGCAAACGAATATGCACCAACACATGTCCGGATGCTGAGCGCACTTCAGAGATTGGAGGCGCTCGCACAGCATCCAGCAAGTCCTTGCGTGGTGTCATTGTCCATGCAGCACCAGAGTCCATGACCCACATGTCAAGCGGGTGCAATTCCTCTCCAGCCCTTGCAACAGCTGTGCCACTGTCATCTTTGTCACACACATGGTAGAACTGTCCAGCATTCCTCTCCTCATTTCCCATTCCTCTGTCATCCTTGGAGGTTTCTTCAGCAGGATCAGCTACCATGTTGGCACCTCCATGTGGTTGCTTTCCTCCATTCCCCTTCTGCGATTGGTTCCAAGGGGTCCACCAGTCGGGCTTGGTAGGGCAGCGAAACCATGGATGCCCTTCTTCCTTGCAATACCAGCACTCTCCCCTCAAGCGTGGTTCACTGTTGTCATTGTTGGAGTGACCACCTCTTCCTCTTGCACCAGCGCCACCACGCCCCCGCTGGTTCCAAGTCCCGCGACCACCTTGGCTGTGGTAAGAGCGACCGCGATTGCCACGCCCTCGATCCCTCCATGTCCCTTGCATGGCATAGCCGCTGGTGCTGTCATCACCTCCGCGCAGTGTATAGCGACGAAAATCTTCTTCCAGAATCTTGGTGCGAATCCACTCCAATGTCCATTGACTTTGGTTTTGTGGCAAGCTGAGTCCGCTTATAAATTGCAGCCAAGACTCCGGCAGCAGGCTGAGCATCTTGAGACACTTTGTCTGCTCTGGGTACGTGATGCCTGCAATCGCCAATTTCGCGTAGAGTTCCCTCATCTTGTCCAGTACGGGCTGCACAGGTTCATTCTCGCTCAACCGCAGCATGGACAGCTCCCGATCCAGCATGAGAGAAGCGGCAACCGATGTTGGAGCGTGCAGGTCCTTGAGCACTGCCCATGCCTTGGGCCCACAATCAATTTCCGGTAGCAGATGCATGATGTGATGCCTCTGGTTCAGCTCCAAGCTTTGTGACAGTAGATAATACCCAGCAGATGAACGTTCATCCCAGTCCGCTTGCTCTGCCATTTCCTTTGGCCTTGGCTCCATTCCAATCATGAGCTTCAAGAGGCCAATTTGTCGAAAGTAGAGCTGCATCTTCCATGCCCAATCATCATAGCCATCTCCAGAGAACTTCTCAATGGTGAAGTTCTTCAGCACCTCCTTAAGCAGTGACCCCTGGCTTGTACGCGCTCCCCTTTGCGCTGCAATGCCAGAATCTTGGGTTGAGCTGCCTCCTTGGACTGAAGTATCACCTCCACCAGAGTCCTCCTTATCTCCCATCGTATTTTAGGTCCCAAATGCGTGATAATAGGCTCTGATACCACTTGTTGGTCAGAGAAGGCTATAAGCAGATGATTCAATGGCTCCTTGGAAATTTCTGCAGCACTTCGTTATGACGCCCAGAAAACTTGCGACCTTCGAATAGCTATATCCAAAACTCCAATCGGTGAAACGATCTGAAAATCGGATATGTTGTCGCTGGCAGCGTCAGCTTTCCACTGAAAGTTGAATCACTTGATTCCGTAGCTTAACGAGCGAGCTATGGCGTTTGGCGCACTGGGGGGTAATCTGCCCTAGGAGAAGTTGACAGTCCTCAGAGTCACTATGATTGAAGCTTACAAGATCAGAGGCATGATAGAAAAGGCATTGAAGCACAGTTGGAAGGTGGGGTAGGAAGGGAAGGATGAAAGGGAAGGACCCTGGAGGCCCATGGTCAAGAACATGACAAGAGTCAAAGTTTTGACTCCCCATCCTCAGGTTCAGCCAGCCTGGCAAGACAAAATTCACACTGTGCCAGGTTGGCCTCCAAACCCCAAATGCTGCAGCTGCAAGGTGGGGACAAAAGTCCCACACATGCTGGTCCCTCCTCGTTATAGGGCTCTCCAACTTTGGTGTAGCAGCTGACAAGGACTTCCAATGAGTTGTAACAAATCCATCAAACATTTCTTCGTAACTTCTTCATATGTGCTCCGATTCCAACAATTCTTGGCTCGTTGGAATGTGCTCGATGTCATGCACAATCCAAGCACATCTGCACAAGCACAAGATGAACATGCAAAGACATGCAAACCCAACAAACCATAAAAACATCGTAGCACACAAAACACATGCAAACGAAATGATGCGAACAGACGACAGGATGACGTGCAAATGAATATGCACCAACATCCAGCAACTCTGCCACCCCGTTCCTCAGGTCTATGCATGGTCGAAATGGCTTCAAGGGGCTCTGATACCACTTGTTCTAACCACAATACGCTCAGATGTGCCTAAAATGATGAAATTGTGCACAGTCAGAATTCCGTCAGACAGCTTCAAATATTGATGCCGATGGCGGCACTTAGAATTGACGAATGGTCAACGAGCACATAGCCCCATGGAACGGAGAAGGCGATGGTGGTCAGCCTTGCCGAGAGCCTTGGTAAAGAGGTCGGCGAGGTTGCAATCTGAGGCGATGTACCGTACCGTCAGCTGGTCACTCTGAACAAGATCTCGGATGAAGAAATGACGAAGTTCGATGTGCTTGGTGCGAGAGTGGAACACAGGATCCTTGGTGAAGTGAATGGTGCTCTGATTGTCACACCACAGGGTGGGCGACTGCTGGGGGTAGCCTAACTCAGCGAGGAGAAAGGAGAGCCAGCGTGCCTCTTGAGCAGCCATTGTGCCCGCGTAGAGCTCGGCCTCGCAGGACGACAGGGAGACTGCAGAGGACCGAGTGGAGCGCCAGCTGATGACTCCGCTACCAAAGGTGAAGCAGTACCCTTGGGAGGAGCGTCTGTCAGTCTGGTCATCGGCCCATGAGGAGTCTGTGTATCCCTCGAGCTTGACTGGAGAGGTACCACCAAGAGTGAGGATGTGAGACTTGGTGGCTTGTAGATAGCGGAGGCCCTCGTGCCGGCCAGGTGTGTGGCGGCACCAACCACGCCCTTGCCTCCTGCTTCAAGAAAAAGGATGACAATTGGTATGCCGTCGATGGGACCGCCTCGAAGCCGTCAAGCTGGATGGTCAATCATGCTCCTCGCAAGATCAATCAAGTCAAAGCACAGGAATCCGTGCAGGCTGCTGTAGCTCCCACTGCTGATGTGCGCCTCCACATGTTGTTCCCTGGCACTCCCATGATTAATGAGACGATTTCGCAGTATCCTGGCTCACAAAGCACCTCAGCCACAATAGAGTTCACCCTCGACAGTGGGGCCACTCACACGGTTCTCAAGGAAGAACACTCCTTCAAGCCATACGAGACTCCAATCCGTCTACTTGGAGCAGACTCCAGTTTCACAACACACGCCAAGGGCTCCTCCACAGCTCCGTGCCCAGCTTTTCCTTCCGGCAGTGTGACCGGCATGTGTGTTCCCACACTACGCCACAATCTCGTGGCCCAACACGAGCTCCAACGGGCAGGCGTCACCACGATCTTCCCAGCACACTCGGATCACTGTGACCTCCTCGACCCTAAGTCCAACAAGCTCCTAGCACGCTTCACACTCAACAGCAGCAGGCTCTGCACGCTGCGTTCACCTGCACCTCTCGCCGCCCTCTCCCAAGCGCAAGCTGCCAGCACCACTCTGTGTTCGTGTCGCAGCTTCGCCAACCCAACCATCCTCTACCACCATCGCTTGGGTCACCCCAACTTCCGTACGCTTGCCGACATCGCTTCCAAGAAACTTCTTCTTGGCCTCCCGTCGGCGCTTCCTCCACCAACAGACTCACCTGCACCCACCCGCCTCGACTGCACCAAGAGCAAGCTCAGGCAGCAGCCGCATCCTTCCTCCCCATCCGTCGCAGCTGCTCCGCTGGACCTAGTGCACATGGATGTCTGGGGCCCAGCTCCAGTCGCATCCCGAGGCGGTCATCGGTACTTTCTTACACTAGTCGATGACCACTCGCGGTATGTTTCTGTGCACCTCCTGCATACCAAGGCGGAGGCACCTGATGTCATCATGGCGTGGGTGCGCCAGGCTCAAGTCACTTTCAGTACTCCCCTGAAGTGCCTCCATTCTGATGGAGGGGGAGAATTTCGCAATGGCAAACTCGATACCTTCTGTGCGGCCCAAGGGATTCGGCAAACCTTCACGCTCCCCGAAAGCCCGCAGCAGAATGGCATTGCAGAGAGCCGCAACCACACCTTGGTTCAGATCGCTCGCTGCCTCCTCAGTCACGCCAACGCACCACGGTCACTCTGGGGATATGCCCTCTTCCATGCGGCACTCCTCTACAATCTTTATCCGCATCCCCACCGGCCCGACACCACACCTACCGCTCTCTGGCTTGGGGTCACGCCTTCCGCCCGCTGTCTACGCGTCTGGGGGTGTACCGCGTATGTGTTGCTAAGCCCCCACACGCGCAGGAAGCAAGGTGGCAAGCTTGGTCCCAAAACCCAGACCTGCATGTACCTGGGGCACAACTCCGACTCCCCAGACTACTTGTTCCTCAACCCAATCATCAGACAGCTGATTCGCAGCCGTGATGTCGTCTTCGATGAGACACGCCCATTCCACTCTGCGACGACGGGCGAGCCTCCTCCACCTCCCCCGACGCTTGTTTGGGCAGACTTCGATGCCCCACCTCCGGCCGCTGCCCCTTCTCCGGGGCCTTCTCCGTCCGGCGTGTCTCACCCGGCCTCCCCAGTATCCTCCGCAGCGGCACCTCCTCCTGCTCCGCCTTCCCCGCGCGTCGAGCCCGGCTCACCAGTCTCCTATCAGAGGCGCCCAGTCCCTCCGGTCCCACCGCAGCCGCCTTCGTCTCCGGTCTCTAGTCGCACTCGTTCCAAGGGACCGGCTCCGCCTCTCGCCTGGGGACCAGCCGCCTTCTCCATCCGGTGTTCGGTCACCCCGCCTCCTCTTGCTGGGGGTGATGTCTCCTCCATTCGTATTCTCCCCCGTCCACTTCTGGAGGACAGGCATGAGGAGCTGTTTGACCTTCACGCGGTCTGCCAATTTCTCTCTCACATCTTCCCGGACATTACTGACTGCCCTTCCCTCAACTTCACCGAGAACCCGACCATTCCGACTCCTCGCACAAAAGAGGAAGCTCTCTGGGGGCCTTATAAGAAGGAGTGGAAGGCAGCAATGGATGTGGAGAACGAGACGTTCATTCGCAACAACAGCTTTGACGATGTTGTTCCCCCTTCCGGTGTCAACATCGTCGGCGGAAATTGGATCTTCCGAGTCAAACAACTCCCAGGCGAAGCTCCACTGTTCAAGGCACGATACGTGGCGAAGGGTTTCACCCAGAAGGAGTATCTCGACTTCTTTCACCCAGTCTGCTCTCAGTTCCGCCCTTCTCATGAAGGATCTTGGTGACCTCAAAAACTACCTGGGGATGGAGATCACTCATGACCGCCAGGCTTGCACGATCACCCTCTCTCAGGAGTCCTACATCGACAACCTTCTCAAGCGGTTCGACATGGACTCCAGTAACTCTGTCTCCACTCCACTCCCACTACAGCATCAAGCTCACAGCCCCTCCAGTTCCTTCTCCTGACACCTGCAAGGACCCGTACCCTGAGCTAGTCGGTTCAATCATGTATGCCATGATGTGCACTCGACCAGACTTGGCTTACCCGGTTATAGTGTCCTCTCTCGGTACGTCTCCCCCGGACGCTACACTGCCTCGCATTGGTCTGCAGCCAAGAGGGTCCTCCGCTATCTACAAGCCACCAAGTCTCACATCCTCACTCTTGGTGGTACCTCTCCAGTCAAGCTCGAGGGATACACAGACTCCTCATGGGCCGATGACCAGACTGACAGACGCTCCTCCCAAGGGTACTGCTTCACCCTTGGTAGCGGAGTCATCAGCTGGCGCTCCACTCGGTCCTCTGCAGTCTCCCTGTCATCCTGCGAGGCCGAGCTCTACGCGGGCACAATGGCTGCTCAAGAGGCACGCTGGCTCTCCTTTCTCCTCGCTGAGTTAGGCTACCCCCAGCAGTCGCCCACCCTGTGGTGTGACAACCAGAGTGCCATTCACCTCACCAAGGATCCTGTGTTCCACTCTCGCACCAAGCACATCGAAATTCGTCATTTCTTCATCCGAGATCTTGTTCAGAGTGACCAGCTGACGGTACGGTACATCGCCTCAGATTGCAACCTCGCCGACCTCTTTACCAAGGCTCTCGGCAAGGCTGACCACCATCGCCTTCTCCGTTCTGTGGGGCTATGTGCTCCTTGACCGGGTTTGCAGTCTATGGGGGTGTGTTAGAAATAGACTGCAAATACCACTTTTGTATTTGTACTTTTATATCCTAGTTTAGGTTCTGAATGTTCTAGTGGGTTGGGGTGTACTCACAAATCCCAACCTCACCCAATTGTGATCCCCATAATCTCCAATTACCCAATGGGGATTCCCTCCAATTCCCCCTTCATCCATTCTCTCTCACCTTGCCTTGTACTTATAGAGCCTTGGGCTCCTTACCTAATCAATAATTTCAACTCTATTTCTTACATTAAGTACCAACCGTTACGTGTACCACTCCATAGTTATTCCAAGGCCTAAAGTTAAATAACAAAGTTAATGGTAAGTGATATGGTTAATGTACCAAGTCTATGGTGAGTAGAAAGCCTAACGGTTAGTACTACGACTATGGTAATTATACCACAACATAGGTAAGTACCAAGCTTCATATCAAGTAC